GTTGCCTATACAATTACACACTAAGACTCTGTTGCTGAAGATACTACCCACTGTGGTCACAGTGAAATCAGGCTGAGACTGAGCTGGAAACTTCCTCACTGTTGGCCACCCCCATAGTACCAAAAGGTGCTGTAGGGGCTTCTGGGGGGAATCATCATCAACAGTCAAAGTCTTACTCAGCTGTAAACCCACCATGAAACACTACCAACCAACTAGACAAGATGTTCCTTCTGGTGCAATAGCGGCAAGTCTGTTAGAGCGGTAACCAACCACTCTCTGATTGAATGTGAGGCCTGCTACAGAGACAATATCCAGTAGAATGCTGTCAATATCAAAAGCCTGTGGCTGAGGAGGTCATGGGCTACCGCAGGAAAACTACTGCTTTTACTTTTTGCTAAATGAACATTATGTGTCAGCCAAATTGCCTTCTAAAATACTGTGTTTATTCTTTACACTGGTGATGATGTCATCTTTGGTCTGAGAAGCTTCTTTTCTGAGGAGTCAGTGGTAACTACAGAGGTACATAAATGAGCAAAGTGCTTAGAATAACTGCTGAATGCTCAGCTAAAAAATGGAACATCTACATAATCCCTCCAAGGCTTACAGAATATCACAGAAGAGGGGACAGAAAGAATGTAAGAGCTCTGGGCATGCAGTGGATGCCTGTAATCCCAGCACTCAGGGAGGCAGCGGCAGCCAGAGCTCTGTGAGTTCAAGGCCAGCCTGGTCTACAAAGCCAGTCCAGGAGAGCCAAGGCTACACAAAGAAACCCTGTCTTAAAACAAAACAAAAAACAAAAACAAAGAAAAGAGCTAGCTGGGGGAAGCAGAAACCAGGGTGAGTGGGAAGGAATGCCGGCTCATTGGCATGTCATGGCTGCTGCACTCTTGGATTCATGGCAGGTGTGATTACCTACACAACACGGGGCCTGTCAGCATCCTTTTATGGAGAATAAGTGGGCTCAGGAGTCCCCACCACCACAGAGGATTTGTAAGCAGATAATGGTTGATTGGTTGGTGGGAAAGGGAAGGACATTTTCTTCAATGGCATAATTACTAGTAGCCATCTATGTTCCTGTAAACAGACTTAATGATGAAGCCAAGGAATCACACACACAAAAGCCATAAAAGCAGAAGAAAAATTAGTGGATTAGAGAAGGAGAATAAATGGGAGGAGGACAGCATCAACAGAGGGTAATGAAGAGTGAACATGATCAAAATACGTTATCTACATACTGAGCCTGTTATTACATATAATTAATATGTGTTAACAGACAAGTTTAAGAAAATGTGTCTAAATTTTCAAAAATATTATCTCACTTAAATAATTTTAGGCATTAAGCTACACTGCATAGATTTTTTTAACATCTCCTTAATGTCATAGCTTTCAACAAAAGAGGCCATGCAGTGTATGCCTCCAAACTCTATGAATAAAACCATTTTTAGGTCCTGAGAACTGGAAAATTAATCTCAAGGAGTTCAGGGCTAGGTAACAAAGGAATAGCTGGAGTCTTTTCCAAATGCACAGTGTAGTCTGACGTCACCTGTGATTCATGACTCTGGGTTCTACAGCCTTTGAGGTCATGGCATGTGCCAGAGAAGGGTGGGTCCCCCAGGTGGGCAGTACCCTTCAGATCTGAATCAGACACATGGGAACGAAGTAGATGTTGTTAAGCCCGCAGGAAAAGCCGACTTGAGCGGAGAAAAGATGGGGAAGCAGTGCAAAGCATGGTAGCTGGACAGTGTGTGCAGAGTGCACCATCCCAGGACCATTGTGAGCATGCTGCTGGCTCTTCAGACACTGATCCTTCGAGCCCAGGAACCCTCCTTCTCCAAAAAACCTGCTGCTGCCCTTGCAGAAGGCATGCCTGGCAAATAAAATGCCAGAGGGAAATGCTGTCTCTCTTCTATTTTCAAATCATAAATAACCCTTGTTTCCTGGAAAAGATTGTCTAGACAGTTATTACCCCATTGAACAAGCCACAGACCTGATCTTTAAGAACCTTACTTGAAGATGTAAAAAATTTTCAACTACTCAGACTTCTAGAGCCTAGGGGGTGAATACTGCCAGGCATGATCAATGGGTGCCTGCTCTCCTGGGTCAGAGCCCCTAAGCATGAGTCGGCTGCAGCTATTAAAAATGCCAGTTCTCATTGTGATAAAGCACGTTCTTGCAAAGCCACAGAAAGGAAAATTATAGCAATCAATACAGATCAAAATAAAACCGGAAAGAATCACAGAAAGACTAAGAACTATATAATCTCACTCATGTATGGAATCCAAGAGCATTGCTTCCGGCAAAGCTGAATGGCGGTGGAGAAAAGGATGGAGACAGGTTGTTTAATGAGTACTAAAGATAACGGTAGCTATGGCAAAAGACCTTCAACTTTTTGAAGGTCTATTTAATTTTTTTCAGTGTGTTTTGCCTGTATGTATATTAGTGCACTGCATGCTTGCAGTTCTCTGGAGGCCAGAAGAGGGCGTCAGATCCCCTGGAACTGATGGAGCTGAGCCACCCTGTGGGGGTGCTGGGAACTGAACCCAGATCCTCTGCAAGAGCAGCAGTTTCTAACCACTGCACCTTCCCTCCACCCAGTCACTATCAATATTGGCAATGTACTGTAACTTTTAAAATGCTAGGAAAAGGAGATTTGATTATTTTCACCACAAATGGCAAATGTTTGGGGAAATACATATAAATGATGCTTTGATGACTTAAGTCACGATATAGGTGATTTTAAATGTTCTACACCATATACGTGTGTCAAAATATCACATGGTACCTCACAGGTACACATAGTTTGCTGTTTTTATGTCAGTTAAAATTTGTTTTCAACCACAAAAAAAAAAAAAAAAAAAGGAATTCTGCTTGTCTGTGGTCAGGTTTATTGAGGCTAAAGCTGTGGAATTTACCAGAGAGCAGATTGACAATTTACCAGTAGAATGCACAGGTGTTGTAATCAGCAAGGGTTGGACTATATAATGTTTATTATTATTAGCCCTAAGATGATCACGGCAGTATTCTCTAACCCGCTATCACAAACATATTAGATTTTATAATTGCCTTATTACCTTAGGCCAGGCAAATAATTTCACCTATGCTAGCTCAGTATCTTCACCATCCATCTCCCAGCCCCCACCCAATGCCTTTCACCTTAATCCGCCTCATCTGGTCTAACTTCCATACATAATCCCATGGTTCCTGCTTGTGTTCTTTATCTAGGCCTTTTCACACCATGATTGGATTGCTTCCACTTGTCCCCCACGTGGTTTCTTCTCCACCTAACCCATCATGGCGTCCTCCTTTCTCCTCTCTTCCCGTCCATCTGTTTCCCATGATTCTCCTGTCCTGGAAGCCTGGAAACCTTAGCCACTCCTACCCCATTCTGCCCTGCCTAGGTATAGGCCAGTTAATCAGCCAATCAGGTATGTCTTAGGCAGGTTTGCAAAACAAGGATAGCTGTAACCAGATCTTGAGGGCCAGTAACTCGAATCAGACCAACTTCCAAGACACAGGCTTCCGAGCTAAACAATAGAATAAACACACACACATGCACATACACACATACAAACAAACGCATGCATGCACATACCCAAGCACATACACTCACACACAGGAAACCACACACGTTTGCATGCACCCCAAAAGATGACCCTGGAAGCAGTTAACTTGTGACTTTTTGTGAAAGGCAGGATCTGAGGATGAGCTTGCAATTAATGATCTCGAAATCAGGAGGTTGCCCTGGTTTGTCCAGCTGGATTAAATGCAATCACAAGTGTTTTTGTGAGACAGATGAGAAAGTCAGAGTCAGTGGAGCAGTGGAATGAGGTGAGTGCCAGAAAGGAGACTTCTCCTCAGTGCTGGAAAGGATAACGAGTTAAGTTTTACCTTGGAAGTTTCTAGAGTTCATACAGAAACAGAGCCCAGACAGTACTTTGAGCTTCACCTGGTAAAAACCTACTTTGGGTTTCCAACTTCCATAACCTGGTGAAGACCTAGATCTGCATTGTGATGAGCTGTGATGTTTATGGCAGTTTGTTGTAGCAGCAGTAAGAAGCTGATACCACTATTTAATCTCTTTTCTACTTTCTCATTTGCTGTTTCCCAATCAAATTAAACAATGCAGTGACATTTTTTGGAAAAAAAACTTTTTATCTGTTTTGGGGAACTCTGTAATATCCTTATGTATTATCACTAACTGTGGTGTTACAGAGAACTTCTCATTTGCATTTCTAAATAAAAGCAGGATGAATACATTTTCTTCTGGTTTTGGTTGAGAGCCTATTTTAATGGCCAACCCATCTCGCTAGCCCTAATGAATATGTTTTCCAGAGAAAGAGGAATTATTTAAGATCTCATGAGGCTAGAGATATACCTCAGTTGGTGCAGTGTAGCACACACAAAGGCTCAGGTTGTGTTCCCAGCACTGCATAAACCAGCTAGGGTGGCATACTCCCAGAATACCAGCCCTTAGGAGGTGGCAACAGGAAGGTCAGGAGTTGCAAGATCACCCTGGGCTACATAAGGAGTTGGAGAACACCCTGGACTACATAAGATCCTGTCTCAAGAGCAAAAGAAAGCCCAGACCCCATGCTGGGTGTTCTGCACATGTCTCATGCCACCCTCCCTAACTACCTGCCTTTACTTCTTATCCAAGGGCACATAAGTTCAAAGGAGTTACACTACTCATTCTGTACCCTGAAAGACCAGGCCGATGAGACTCCAGACTTCCAGCTCCTTCCATTCAGAATACGTTGACAGAAAAGTTCTCACACAAAGCAACCAAACGTTAACAGTAGATGCTCTGCCAAGATTTGGGGGAAAATGGTCATTCAGGAGGTAGGCCTCACTTTCTGGAAGGATAAAAGTGAAGGGACAATTTGACTCTTAAAATCTTTTTGAAGGTGTCGTCATGTCTTCTCCCAGCAGCTTCTTCTCTAGGCCAAAAACCAACTGACAATGTATGTCACTGCTCTGATTTCTTTCAAATCTTCTTATAGGTGTATTTGCATTTGGACTTTTTGCTACTGACATTTTTGTAAACGCCGGGCAAGTGGTCACTGGCCACCTAACACCGTACTTCCTGACAGTGTGCCAGCCAAACTACACCAGTACAGACTGCCGGGCACACCACCAGTTCATCAGCAATGGCAACATCTGCACCGGGGACCTGGAAGTGATAGAAAAGGCTCGGAGGTCCTTCCCCTCCAAACACGCTGCCCTGAGCATTTACTCGGCCTTGTACGCCACGGTGAGTGTGTGTGTGTGTGTGTGTGTGTGTGTGTGTGTGTGTCCCCAAGCTGAGATCTTGCCAGGATGTGCCTCTCACCCTTCCCACCACTGTCATCCTGTTGTGAGGTGATTGTTTAAAGTCACAGAAAACACGTTTCTCTCACATCACATCACACTCCTGATAAAATAACTCCCACCCTGACCAGAACCTTCCAGAGGGCTTAATTTGAAAAGAAATTTGATAATCCCCCATTTGTACACTCCCAGTTTATAGGTGGGGAAACTGAGGCCTCATGGATACCTAAGAACACACAATCAGCCATGGCCAAACTCCTGGCACTTCGTCCAAGAGTCTGTCAGCACTCTGCCACAGCTTTGGTTGGCTCCAGAAGAGCATACCCTCCTCATACCTACCTATATGTTTTCAAGTGTCAACTGGGGTGTGTGATTGGCCTCACAGTGTGCAGGACAGAATCAAACATATGTCCCCCCTGTGCTTCTTACAATGTGCATTCTTGCCCCCTACAAAGATGTAGCAGATGGGCAGCTGAGGCCTCATGTGGGTCCTCTAGTAAGGGAAGTGGGGGATCACATCAGACACAGACTCACTTGCCAGCTTTTTGATGGCTTTTTCCTGGTGAGACTGTCTTGGTAGGCCACAGGGGAAGAGGATTGCTCATTCCTGATGCAACTTGATGAGCGGGGCTGGATGGGAAAGGGAGCTTCCCTGAGGGAGAACGAAAAGGAAGGGTGGAGCTGGGAAGGAAGGAGGATGGGGCTACAACAAGGATATAAAATGAATTTAAAAATAAATAAAAATAATAAAATAAAATTATATTGTAAAAAGAGTTGGATAATTCTAGAAGAATCTAAGACCGCCAAACTTCCCTTCTCCCTCTCTTTAGATCACACTGTCTTTGATTGTCCTGCTAGATTATAATGCCCTGTTTGTTTGTTTGCTTGTTTTGCTCTCAGCAAAGGAAAAGTAATAGTGTGATATGTGCTTCTTTTGCACCCAGAACTCAGAAGCATAACTATCAGCTTGAACACACACAAGCCAATACCGCAAGATCACTCACTGTGCCTATTTCAGCATGCATGTTTTACCCTGTGCATTTTACCATGTCCATTTTACCACATGCACTTTACCACACTTATTTTATCAGTGGAAGTGGCCATTGGTCAAAGGACCCTTTAGTGGGTTCCAGTAAAGCATGGATAAGGAAGACAGAGCTAAGCTTCCTTTCAAACTACTCAGATATTCTAGGATACCTCACTTTGTCAGCCCCATCTGCAGGGGCCAGCATCCCAGTCTCCTCCCAGCCACTGTAGGAGGCACATGCTGTCACCTCGCTGGACTTCTTTTTTCTTTATAAAACAGAAAGAGAACACGGGTCAAGAATCCACTGGGGCACTTAGTGTGTTTTCGATTTTCAGGGTATTGATTTGTTCCTAAACTATCTAGAGCATAATTTTTATAAAGCCACATGCTTTTGCCTCCCCTTTTGTATTTTTATCAGATTCAAGTCACTGCTGTGTGAAATTGATTTTGATAATGCCATTATACAAATAAATTGGTAACTTAAACCAGTGTGTCATCATCAAATGAGAGCTCAACGTCAGTGGCAGCAGAAGGAATGAACGGAATATACTGGGCGCACAGCACACAGTGCAGGCACCGTCCAAGGATTTGGATATCAACCCTCTCAAATCAGGCCTCATGCTCAATTTGATAAACCCAGATACAGCATTCCAGCTGAGCAAACGTTTTCTGTCTTGTGTTAAATTATGCTTTCAGGATTACTCAAGACTGGTGGAGGATCATTGCCAGGGCTTGATCATTCCATGGTGCACAGGGGTATTGAAACACTATGCCACACCCATGAATATATGCAATTCTTATGTACCAAAGTAAAAAGAAAACGCTAATGAAAACATTATTCAACAGTTACTTCCTAGGTGCCATTTAACGCTGTGAAGACTACCAACTGGTCTATATTCTCAACGATTACTATTTTACAGGAAAGGTTCAGAAAAGACATACCCAGAAAACAATATTCAAGCATAAAAAAAAAATAAAATTGAATGTATGTACTTGCGTTCAGCGTTTTAAGTAACAATCCTCAGTGTCAGAGTACTACATTCATTACCATTCGTGTGACTTTGATCTACCAGAGTTTTGTGTGGCACCTGTTAGGATAACGAGGAACCTGCATCCCTCTAGGATTCATGGTAGTGTTGAAACATCTTCCTAGAAATTAGTCTCCCATTATAATACTGCCAGATGCGGCTACGTGAATGTATTGGTGCTCAGGACATCAAATATCCTAGAGGTTATAATCTTAAATATCAGCCTTTTCTTGTGTGTATGTGTGGTTTTGTAGGGTTACTGAACTCACCATACTTGAGCAGAAATAATGAGACAAGTCTGCAGACCCCACGTAGGATGTTGATGAAGGAGGATTGTAGCAAGTTTAAGGCCAGATTGGGCTAGGAAGAAGTCCATCAAAAAAGGAAAAAGGAAAATGGTGGGTCACTAGTGCCCTCTAGTGGTGGATCATAGCAATTATCAAAGTGATGTGATTTGCTGGAAGTTACATATTCTTAACTCTGAACCGTTGTGGACATTTGGTAACAGCCCACGTTTCAAGCATCAGCGAGTGCAACATCTTTTATTTGGTTCAGACCCTTCACCCTTTTGTATATTGTGGTGCACAGAAAAGTTTGCTGTTTTAAAACACTCTGCAGTAGGTGAATGGATGGAGCAGACCACAGTTGTCCCTGACATGAGAATCCACTTCCAGCACAGTAGTGACCCATAGTCTTGATCGGGTCATTCACATTAGATCCATCAGCAAGTCAGTGAACAGTCTTATATCATGACCCCAAAGGGTACAGACACCACTTCTGGGGAGACAAAAAGTGAAGTGTGAATTCTCTCACTCTACCTGATAACCTCTGCCACAAACTCATTCACAGAGAAGGCATACCTGGTACCTAAGATTTTTATATGGGTTTTGTAGTAGTAGCACCGCACGATTATCTGGTTCTTTATGTAAAAACTATGTCTTCTGAATCCTGCCATTATTCTTCAGTTATTCCTAATATCAGCATAGCTTGCTCACAAACTCATTACGAAGCAAAAGTCACTAACAAAAACATGTTCATTGTCATAGCTGAACTGTTTCCTGTACAACTAACCAGCTTAAGGAAGTTGTCCAAGCAATGGAGTTGCTATGGTTCCCTTTGTCGAAGCCCCTGTTTGCGGTCTGGGATATGTGTGCACTCATGTGGCTGTACCAGGACTGCCTGGAACTCACTGATCTGTCTCCCACTGCAGATGTATGTCACAAGCACAATCAAGACAAAGAGCAGTCGGCTGGCCAAGCCAGTGCTGTGCTTGGGGACCCTCTGTACAGCCTTCCTGACAGGCCTCAACCGGGTCTCAGAGTACCGGAACCACTGTTCAGATGTGATTGCTGGCTTCATCCTGGGCACCGCAGTGGCCCTGTTTCTGGTAGGTCTTTCTTTCCACTTCTTCCATGTTATGTCTTCCATGTAAAGTCACAGTGCATTGAATTTCCTAGATTCCCTCAGGCATTGTTCCTCATGTCCCTGTTTTCTGAGCAGCAATTCTCCAAAAAGTATGCATCCCTTCCCACAAGATAGTATCCGAGTATCTTTACTTTGAGAAATATGACTGGCCATGTTTCTTAAGAGAGTTGAGAATCCTAGCCCCAAGAAAGATGGCTATGCTCTGTCCTCTTGCATCTGATTTCAACTAAGTGGCTTCAACATGTGGCCTCCCTGAAGAATTTTGGCAAACACAGCAGCCCCGTATTGTCACATCTCTGCTGATGTTTTAATTCTTCAAAGAGCTGGAGACTTGGCTATGTGCTCTTGTGGAAAATGCCTTAATCTGACTTGGACTGGAAAAGAAGAATCTGTACTCTTTTTCTGTTTTGTTTGTTGTTTTTGTTGTTTCCAGTTTCGCTCAAGTGTGGGAGGGATATGATGCCACACACTCTCCAATTTTATAAACTTGACATCTCTCTTGCTTTTTCATTCCCTTTCACCTCAAGCAACTATTGAGGTTTGGTTTGGTTTGTTTTTTTTTTTTTTTCTACATTTGGATTTCATGTAAATGAAATTCCATAATATGTATATTCTGACACTTTATATCTATCATAATTTATATTTGGAGACTCATTCATGTTGTAGAAGGCAACAATAAATTATTTATTTTTAATACTCCATTACCTGGACATACCGGAGAGATACAGGTTTGTTCTTTGGCTCTTGTTCTGATAGTAGGACACCAGGCATTTAAACTCACATACTCTGCATAAAATAAAGCCACTGTCAATAGTAAGACCCTCCACCAAGGAGAACAGGTCACTAAAATCTCAACGGGCCTGCCACTCATTCTGTTCTGTCCTTTATAATCCAAGCCCCTAAGGCTGGCATACACCCTTTCCACATATTTACATTCACATATTCCTATCACTTAACTCATTTTTCCTTTCTGTTCTGAATATGAAAAATACACACATGACTGCCCCAACCTTTGGCTCAGTTGACCACCTGTTTTTCCTGAAAATGCTCACACATTTCTGCGGAACACTGTCTGTGAAACTATTATCACTCAACATTCCCTCCGTCGGATCACAGCTTTCTGTTTCTGATGGAGGAAGAGGGGAGGGTGAAGTGTGAATTCTCTGAGAGAAGTCACAGAGAAAGCCCCGAAATGATCTCATGTAGCTGCTATCTCATGAGAAAGACTCCCTGGGAAGGGTTTTTGAAAGAAAACAAGAATTATTGGTGACTTAAAAAGAACAGAGCACTTTTCAGGAGAGATCACTGGCATGTGAATAAAGACAAACTGGAAGAAAAGTCAAACAGTTTCGACATCCAACATCACTAGAGCGCACTATGCCCTGCTAAAAAGAAGTGGCAGTGTAGACGGCCCACCCCATTGCATGGGTGTGGGAGAGGAGGTCTGTGAGAGCCTGTGGGTTGCTGGGCTGCCTTATAAAAGTCTGCTTTCTGATGAGACTTGTTCTCTTAGTAACTTGCAGTCTTCTTTCCTACCCCTCAGTTATTGTTTGGTCCGTTATTGCTTCCAGTGTTTTGACTGTTGTCATTAATTTTGCTTTCATCCAATGTTTTTTACTTAAAAAGCCATTGAATTGCCATCCACTCACGTGCATACACGTGTCCATACCTCAGAGACACACATGAAGCTGGGAACAGAAGGGAGAGTGAAGTCAGAGAGAGAATGAGAATAGCCACAACAGAAATCTGGAGAGAAGACAGAGAGAGAAGCCAAAACCAAGAATGGCAGCATAGTCTTTGTTCACCTTCAGTACTGCTATACACATCTGTGTTTCCCACGAAACAGAACACAGGGAAAGAGAAAGAAAAATGTGAGTTGAGCAGTTACTGTATGCCCTGCGCTACAAACCTCAGTTTTTGAGTTCCTAGGGCACCCCTAGCAATATTTTAATCTTTATTTTATTGTTCAAGAAGTTGAGCTTCAAAATATGTAACATGGTCAGTAATCATCCAGCACTGTGAGCCTCAACTCCAAGGCTCTGACGCCTTCCTCTGCTACCCAGGCAGCCAAAAGCTTTAAGCATAGCTGTAGTATGAGATGGTGGCATTTGTGTGAGTGTTCTGTATGATTTGAAAAGTTACAGGAAAGACTCAACACTAGACATGGAGACAAAGCTGCAGAATAATAAGAGAAATTAGGAAAGAGGCAGATAAATTCAACATGGGCAGAGAAGATGGTGAAACATTTATGAGTCTGGTAGGAATAAGGAAAGTAGGCATTTGTAGTGAGCTGTTTAAGCCAAGTAAGTAATAAAGACATATTAACTATGGCCATTTTAGGCAGAAGTTAAACATGAGCCAATATGGGCTGAGTACTTGTTGTATTTGGAACTTAAGAGACAACACAGTATAGTAGTGGGATTTTGAGGAATATAAACTATCCAAGCTCAAGAGACTAATAGCAACTCACCTCTACTATTGGGAATTGTTGGCAGTAATAACCAAAATGAGACACACCCACAGGACACTGCCACACCCCCAGCAGCCTTCAGCACATGTTTGGTGTGATTACAAGGTGGCTTACATTTGTCATAGTGTCACAGATCTACAAGGTAGGTATTCCCACTTGACAGCTGAAGATATGAGCCTGTGGCATGTCCCCAGTCACCTGGTAATTTTTCTCTCACCAGTACCTGTAGTGTGCTTTGCACACACTTCAAGCCTCCCTCACTCTTAGTTTCCCATAATTCCAAGGAAATATGTCACCTTGGTGATGCTATTCTAGGACAGTGATTTGCTACTCTCAGAGGTGTCCAGCCACTGCCCACTGGAGTCTGACCCGATCTCTGCTCCCCTTCATCCCGCAGGGAATGTGTGTGGTTCATAACTTTAAAGGAACACAAGGCTCTCCTTCCAAACCCAAACCTGAGGATCCCCGCGGAGTCCCCTTGATGGCTTTCCCAAGGATAGAAAGCCCTCTGGAAACCTTAAGTGCACAGGTATAGTACAGCAACCGTAGCAAGCAAACCCATGACTTTTGTAAGTTGTTTATTTAATCCTGAGGAAGTACTAAGTCTTGTTCAAATTAAACCTGAGCAGCTTTAGGGCACTATGGCCTCTAATGTGCGATCAACATTCATGAAATTTGAACTCCTCATATGAGAAGCCAGTTTGACAAACAACCAAGTCATTTCTTGAACAGTTCCATTTCACTTGGTGTCCTTCATGGGTGGGAATGGGGATCCAAACTTCCAGGGCATACAAAAACCCAAAGTTCACAGGTTCCTAATGTAGTATGTCATAATGCTTGCACAGAAATTGGAACTTGCACAGAAATTCATATACGTGTTCACCTCCACTTCACTTGCAATGCCTAATACTAAGAAATACTATGTAAATACTAAGAAAATAGCACTAAACAGGATGGCTGAGGGAATGTAACAAGGAACACTATTGCACACATTTAGTCTCCTAGATACTTTTCATCTGTGATTGTATAAATGCATGGCTACAGAACCCATGAAAAACAGAAGGGCAACTGTGTTCATTCTCCTAAATACTTCTCAGCTCTAATTGTACAAATGCATGGTTGCAGACCCCATGGATAATGGAAAGGCAACTTTGTTCGCAAGGACAAAGATTTTGTTCCATCTGGTGACTCAAACTAGTGGCACAGGTTCTATTCTGACAACAGTCACAAATTCAACACAATACTTTTTGATTATGTGTTCTACAACAAGCCTTTTATTCCTGCATGAGATCAAAACATTAGACACAGCTTTCGCTCTCCAGAACTCCAAGAATAGGAGAGAATGGAAATAAAGCTGTCACCATGCACTAAGCTAAATGAGATGCACCATATGAACAGAAGTTAAGGTGAGTGCCCACTTTGAGAAGACAAGAAAAGCCATGGAAAAGGCTGTTAAAAACCTAGACATGGCGCTTGGGATTTTTGCCTAGAACAGTTCCAGGAGCATCAAAAGATATTCTTATTCGAATAACCACCGTGTGGAATGGATATTTGCCGATGCCCATTTCCCTGATAAGAATTAAAATATTGAAGTCAGCACTGTTAAACACAGCTAGAAAGTGAGAGAGTGCAGATGAGCAAATATTCTTACAGTGAGCAAGAAAATGGCCCCTTTTAAAAAGCCTGGACCTGGAGAGCCAAAATGGCGGCGCCAGGAAAGCACTGTGTCTGAGAAGCGGGACAGCACTCTCTGTGCAGCGACCAGGAGACTGAACTCTGGGCCCTAAAACTACAGCGATCATGTTTCCCAGGTGAGGGGAGGCTCCCACAGCGTGGGAATCGGTCGGGTCCACTCTCAGCTGCCCAGCCAGAACCCGGAAGAGAACCCAGCTAACTCGGGCTTTGGGTCTCCAGGCTGGTGCCGCAAGCCTGCGTGTCCTGATCACTTTCCCAGGGTGATTGGTGGGCACAAGGGTGCCAGAGACTGGGAGTGCCAGTCGCAAGAAAACCCCACGGGGAAGCAAAGTTGCGAGTCTGATCACTGGTCACCCAGTCTTTCCCTCGAAGGTCTCTCGGACCGTGGATACCCGCCGCCATCACAACTGAGCTCCCGCCACGCAGAGAGCAGCTGCGTGCCCAGCTCACGGGTACAGACAAGCTGCGTGCCCCAGTGCAACAGAGACTGAGAATCCCTGTCTGGAGAGGGACCCAAAGGGAAGGAAGAAACCGTGCTGCTGGGGTCAGCTAGGCTTTGCCTGGGGAAAATCTCGCAGACCGCAGATCACAAACAGGCGAGTACGCCCAGCCATCATGGATCCGGGCCCAAGCAGGGAGCACAGAGGTATTGGGAACCCAGCTCCCGCAGACTAGCAGGCGGGTGCATGCTCCGCCAGCCCAGAGGCCTGCTTTGTACCAACTACTTCTTACAGACAGGACTGTGTGCCCCAGGACACCAGAGTCTTGGAGTGACTGTCTGGAGAAACCCTCACAAGGAACAAGGAACAAAGCAAAGGGGATGGTCTTAGGCAACCCAGTATATCCCCGGAAAAGGTCCCACAGACTGGCCCAACCCAGGGAACTGTGGTGCCCCAGATAGCCTGCTGTTACCAGGAGAGCAGTACTCACCCACCACAGATTACCTCTTGGGTTCTGGGGCACAGAGCCCCAACCTCAGACCTACAAAAGACCGGGAACCCTGAGATCAACCCCCAGATACTGCTCCAAGGGGCAACCAGTTATCCCTAGCAAAACCAACCAAACCACGGGACACACAGTTTACAGAAGCTAATCACTAAATTTACAGCAAGAAAACCAGAAGGAGGGCAGCTGTCTCCAGGACTTCTCCCGGGGAGAGGAGAGCCCTCTCAACTAATCAGGACCACAGTTACCACCCAGGTCTCTATGCCTGAGGTGAGCTGTAGCAACTCCTGAAAAACACCGGCCATCCAGTGACTATACCCAAAAAGCTGAGAAGGCTTCCTTCAGGAAAAACCATCTTTCTGCCAAAGGGATTCTCTCCACCACAGGAGTCCAGGAACAACCAGAAACTAACTTCAAACACCCAAGATAGCCCAATGGGTAGAGGACAGCATAAAAGTTCAACCAACAAAAGCCAGAGCAATATGGCATCTCCAGAACCCAGTTATCCAGAAGCAAATAGCCCTAGACACCCCAGCATAATTGAAATTCAAGAAGATGACCTAACATCTATGCTCATGAAGAAGATAACAGAGGAAACAAATAAAATACAGAAAGAAATAGAGGAAGCTGCAGCCAAACAGTTTGTGGCCTTTAGAGAGGAAATGCTTAAATCACTGAATGAAATAAAAGAAACAGAGGATTGTTCGAACAAACAGCTGAAGGAATTGATGGAAAAACATGTGAAAATACAGTCAGACAGGTGAAGGAAACCAACAAAATGGCTCAAGACCTGAAGATAGAATTGGAAAAATTAAAAAAAAACACACACAAATGGAAGAAATTGTGAAGAGAAAGAACTTAGGGAAGAAAGCAGGAACTACAGAGGTTAGCATAACCAATAGGCTACAAGAAATGGAAGAAAGAATCTCAGATGTAGAAGATACAATGGAAGAAATAGATGTATCTGTCAAAGAAAATGTTAAATCTAAAAAATTCCTGACACAGACCATCCAAGAATTTCAAGACAACATAAAAAGACAAAACCTAAGAATAATAGGCATAGAGGAAAAAGAAGATTCCCTGCACCAAGGCCCAGAAAATATTTTCAACAAAATCATTGAAGAAAATTTTCCCAACTTAAAGGAGAGGCCAATAAGAATACAAGAGGCCTACAGAACACCCAATAAATTAGACCAGAAAAGAAAAAGAAAATCCTCCTGCCACATAATAATCAAAACCATAAGTGTACAGAACAAAAAAAAAAAAAAAACAAAACACTAAAAGCTGCAAGAGAAAAAGGCCAAGTAACATATAATGGCAAACCCATTAGAATCACACCTGACTTCTCAACAGAGACTATGAAAACCAGAAGGGCCTGGACGGATATCATGCAGACCCTAAGAGAACACAGATGTCAGCCCAGGCTACTATACCCAGCAAAACTCTCAGTCCTCATAGACAGAGCAAGATAGTCAATGACAAAAACAAATTTCAACAATACCTACAAACAAATCCAGCATTACAGAAGACACTAGAGGGGAAAATACAACCCAAGAAAACTAGATACATTCAAGAAAACAAAGGAAATAAATAACCTCACTTCAGTAAAACAAAAGCAACCAAGCACACAACCTTATGACTACAGCCAACATCAAAATCAAAGGATCTAACAGCCACTGGTCATTTATCTCTCTCAACATCAATGGACTTATTTCTCCAATAAAAAGACACAGACTAACAGAATGGATGCGTAAACAAAACCCAGCAATCTGTTGTATACAAGAAATACACCTAAGTCACAAAGATAGACATTACCTGAGGGTAAAGGGATGGAAGACTGCTTTCCAAGCAAATGGATGCAAGATGCAAGCAGGAGTAGCCATTCTAATATCTGATAAAATAGACTTTCAACCAAAATTAATAAAAAGAGATGGGGAAGGACACTTCATAAACATCAAGGGAAAATTCCACCAAGAAGACATCACAATCCTGAACATCTATGCCGCAAATACAAGGGCACCCACATTTGTGAAAGAAACATTGATAAAACTTAAACCACACATAGATCCCCACACACTAATATAGTGGGAGACTTCAACACCCCACTCTCAACAAAGGACAGGTCAACTAAACAGAAATTAAACAAAGAAACAATATCTCTAACAGAGGTCATGAATCAAATGGACCTAACAGACATTTACAGAACCTTACACCCAAATACAAAAGAATTTACCTTCTTCTCAGCACCTCAAGGAACCTTCTCCAAAATAGACCACATAGTTGGTCACAAAGCAAGCCTCAACAGATACAAGAAGATTGAAATAATCCCTTGTATCCTGTCTGATCACCATGGAATAAAGCTGGACCTCAATAACAACAGAAATAGCAAAAAGCCTACACATACATGGAAACTGAACAACTTGCTACTAAATGACAGCTGGGTCAGGGAAGAAATAAAGAAATTAAAGTCTTCCTAGAACTCAATGAAAATGAAGACACAACATACCCAAACCTGTGGGACACAATGAAAGCAGTGCTAAGAGGAAAGCTCATAGCACTAAGTGCCTTCAAGAAAAAATTCGAGGCAGCGCATTCAAGCAACTTAATGGCTCACTTAAAAACCCTAGAAAAAGAAGAAGCAGACACACCAAAAAGGAGTAGATGGCTGGAAATAATCAAACTCAGGGCTGAAATCAATCAATTAGAAACAAATAAAACAATTCAAAGAATCAATGAAACCAAGATCTGGTGCTTTAAGAAGATCGACAGGATGGACAAACCCTTAGCCAAGCTAACTAAAAGGCAGAGAAACACCATCCAAATCAACAAAATCAGAAATGAAAAGGGGGACATAACTACAGACACTGAGGAAATCCAAACAATCATTAAGACTTACTTCAAAAGTCTATATGCAACAAAATTTGAAAATCTAAATGAAATGGACAATTTTCTTGATTGATTCCACTTACCAAAGCTGAATCAGGACCAGGTAAATCAATTAAAAAGTCCTATATCCCCCAAGGAAATAGAAGCAGTCATCGAAAGTCTCCCATCCAAAAAGCCCAGGACCTGATGGTTTCAGTGCAAAATTCTACCAGACATTCAAAAGAGCTAACTCCAATTCTCTTCAAACTATTCCACAAAATAGAAACAGAAGGAACATTACCAAACTCATTCTATGAAGCCACAGTCACCTTGGTACCTAAACCTCACAAAGACCCAACAAAAAAAGAGAACTTCAGGCCAATCTCCCTTATGAACATTGATGCAAAAATACTCAACAAAATACTCGCAAACCGAATACAAGAACACATCAAAGATATCATCCACCATGACCAAGTAGGCTTCATCCCACGTATGCAGGGGTGGTTCAATATACGGAAATCCATCAATGTGATCCACCATATTAACAAACTGAAAGAAAAAAAACCACATGATAATCTCCCTAGATGCTGAAAAAGCATTTGACAAAATCCAACATCCATTCATGTTTAAAGTATTGGAGAGATCAGGGATACAAGGCACATATCTAAACATAGTAAAGGTGATGTACAGCAAGCCTATAGCCAACATCAAACTGAATGGAGAGAAACTTAAAGCAATCCCACTGAAATAAGGGACAAGACAAGGCTGCCCACTCTCTCCATATCTCTTCAACATAGTGCTGGAAGTCCTTGCTAGAGCAATAAGACAGTTGAAGGAGATCAAGGGGATACAGATTGGAAAGGAAGAAGTCAAATTATCACTATTTGCAGATGATATGATAGTATACATGACTGACCCCAAAAACTCTACCAGGGAACTCCTACAGCTGATAAGCACCTTCAGCAAAGTGGCCGGATACAAAATTAACTCAAAAAAATCAGTAGCACTCCTGTCTACAAAAGACAAAATGGCTGAGAAAGAAATTAGGGAAACAACACCCTTCACAATAGCCACAAATGACATAAAGTACCTTGGTGTAACCCTAACCAAGCAAGTCAAAGACTTGTATGAAAAAAATTTCAAGTCTCTGAAGAAAGAATTAGAAGAAGATATCAGAAGATGGAAAGATCTCCCATGCTCATGGCTTGGCAGGATTAACTTAGTAAAAATGGCCATCTTACCAAAAGCAATCTACATTCAATGCAATTCTCATCAAATTACCAACACAATTCTTTACAGACCTGGAAAGAAAAATTCTGAACTTCATATGGAATAACAAGAAACCCAGAATTGCTAAAACAATCCTCTACAATAAAAGATCTTCTGGAGGTATCTCCATCCCTGATCTTAAGTTGTACTATAGAGCAACAGTTATAAAAACTGCATGGTACTGGCATAAAAACAGAATGGTGGATCAATGGAACCGAACAGAGGACCCAGAAATAAACCCACACACTTATGGACACGTGATCTTTGACAAAGACGCCAAAACCATACAATGGAAAAAAGATAGCATCTTCAACAAATGGTGCTGGTCCAACTGGATGTCTACATGTAGAAAAATGCAAATAGATCCATATTTATCACCCTGCACAAAACTGAAGTTCAAGTGGATCAAAGACCTCAACATAAAACCAGACACATTAAATCGGCTAGAAAAAAAAGTGGGGAATACCCTAGAACTCATTGGTACAGGAGAAAACTTCCTGAACAGAACACCAACAGCACAGGCTCTAAGAGCAACAATCAATAAATGGGACCTCATGAAACTGAAAAGCTTCTGTAAAACAAAGGACACCGTCATCAAAACAAAGCGACTGCCTACAGATTGGGAAAGAATCTTCACCATCCCTTTATCTGACAGAGGACTCATATCCAGTATATATAAAGAACTAAACAAGCTGAAAAGCAGCAAACCAAGTAATCCACTTAAAAAATGGGGAACAGAGCTAAAGAGAGAATTCTCTGTAGAGGAATATTGAATGACAGAGAAACACTTAAAGAAATGCTCAAGCTCATTAGCCATTAGGTAAATGCAAATCAAAACAACCCCGAGATTTCACCTTACACCCATGAGAATGGCCAAGATCAAAAACTCAAGTGAGAACACATGCTGGAGAGGTTGTGGAGAAAGGGGAACCCTTCTCCACTGCTGGTGGGAATGTAAACTTGTACAACCACTCTGGAAATCATTCTGGTGCTGTCTTCGACAACTAGGAATAGCGCTTACCCAAGATCCAGCCATACTACTCCTAGGCATATATCCAAAAGAGGCTCAAGTACACAAAAAGGACATTTGCTCAACCATGTTTGTAGCAGCTTTATTTGTAATAGCCAGAAGGTGGAAACAACCCAGATGCCCCTCAACTGAAGAATGGATGCAGAAACTGTGGTACATCTATACAATGGAGTATTACTCAGCAATGAAAAATAAGGAAATCATGAAATTTGCAGGTAAATGGTGGGACCTGGAAAGGATCATCCTGAGTGAGTTGTCCCAGAAGCAAAAAGACACACACGGTATATACTCACTCATATAGACATACAACATAGGACAAACCCACTAAAATCTGTGCATCTAAAGAAACTAAGCAAGAGAGAGGACCCTAACTAAAATGTTCAATCCCCATCCTGAAAGGCAAAGAGGATGGACATCAGAAGAAGAAAAAAACAGGAAACAATCTAGGAACCTACCACAGAGGGCCTCTGAAAGCCAGAAGAAGAAAACAGGAAACAAACTAGGAACCTACCACAGAGGGCCTCTGAAAGCCTCTGCCCTGCAGACTATCAAAGCAGATTCTGAGCCTGATGGCCAACTGTCAGGCAGAGTGAATGGAATTTTATGTAAGAAGTGGGAAATAGTAAGAGCTGGAGAGGACAGGAACTCCACAAGGAGAGCAACAGAACAAGAAAATTTGAACACAGGGAACTTCCCAGAGACTCATACTCCAACCAAGGACTATTCATGGAGATAACCTAGAACCCCTTCACAGGTGTAGCCCATGGCGGTTCAGTGTCCAAGTGGGTTACCTAGTAATGGGAAGAGGGACTGCCTCTGACACAATCTGATTGGCCTGCTCTTTGATCACCTCCCCCTGAGGGGGGAGCAGCCTTACCAGGTCACAGAAGAGGACAATGAAGCCACTTTTGATGAGAACTGATAGACTAAGATCAGAAAGGAGAGGAGAACCTCCCCTATCCGTGGACTTGGGGAGGGGCATGCATGCAGAAAGGGGAGGGAGGGTGGGATTGGGAGGGGAGGAGGGAGGGGCTTATGGGGGGATACAAAATGAATAAAGTGTAATTAATAAAAAATTAAAAAAGTTAAAAAAAAAAGCCAGGACCTTCATTCGAACACCCCTCTTTTCAGGCCTCTGGAATCCTATTAAAAGGAATGTTTTCTGCAATATGCTGCTCATCTTGAAATGTAAGGGATAGCACTGCACTTCCTGTATGAATTACTAGATTTTTCTCACTCTTTAGATAGTGACTGTCACAAGCTCTTCTGTGTCTTTTAACCTTTAGTGAAATCTAGCTTCATTGGTGAACCAGGGGGAAAGCAATGAGAGTCTTGCCATCTTAAGAAACTATGTAGCTTTACATTAAACCCAGCACCAAGCATGTTCTGCTTCTTTTTCCATATCTCTCACTTTTAGTAGTTTAATTAGAAATAAAATATGGATAAAATGTACAGTACTCTCTTCCGACATCCACAGGACCACTTGGTGTACATACAAACATGCAGACAAACTCTCACATACATAAAAATACATTTAAAAATAAGGGTTTGCTTAGTTGCTCAGATGACTCTGTCTATGTGGACTTAGTTTCCCCTGAATATCCTGGTCTAAGAATAATATCACACATCTGCCCACACCAGCCAGGCCTGTCTGTGCCTTTTTTTTTTTTTTTTTTTGTACTCCAAGACTATGTGTAGTTGACTAGGACAACAAATTTTTATGGTGTGCCCTGAAAGTTTTACACTGAAAAGTGAGGTACCAAAACCCTTCAGATATGGTTCTTTCCCATAGAGATAAAGGATGCTTGAGTATCTACACCGAGAATAGCAACAAGATTATCAGTAAATGCATTGGATGGTACAAGTTCTGACTATACTTCTTCCAAGTCTGACTCTCATCTATGTGCTTAAGTGTGCACCTCCTTGTCAATATCTGAGGCCTCATAAATATCAAGCTCGGGCAGAAGGTCCTTCTAAGTCCATCATGTGATTGCCCTTTATAATTAGATAGTGTTCCCTCTTATTTGTGTCCCTCGTGGAACTGTAATTCTTTAAGGATCTGGGCTCTGTGATCCATGTCTTATGTGCCACGTTTCCTGACATTTACTAAGTATAATTGGCTGGATGGGAGCCAGCCAGAGCCTCAACTAGATCCTTCAGTCAAACACCAGCAGCCTCAAGTCAGACCAGAGTCACTGCCTATGCTGTCGCTGTTTCTATGACAAATGCAGACTTGACAGGAACAAGGAGCAGAACTTCTGCGGGCCAGTCAGAACACAGTCACAGGAAGCTGCGGCAAGTGCTGGCCGTGTGGCATAGGCCACACCAATGGTGAAAAGCTGGAGCAGGCAAGCATTGCTTTTACTAGAGAATATTTCCACAGAGAGTGGAAGATAATGCCCTTTAGTTCAAGAAAGAGATGTTGCAATCATCGAGAGTCCTTTTCTCTCCCTCTCACAGTACCCTGCAATTGACATTACTCCATTTTGGAAAGCAAAATATCCTTAAGTAGCATTTCCAATATTATTTCATCAAAATTGAAAGAGTCATCTAGATCTGAAGGTCCTATGTAACCCCATACTTCATTCAAGCAAACTTCCTTTTTAAAATCTACCTCTCTCAAGCCTGAGTATGAAAATGTGCTGCAGAGGATATATGTTCAACCCAAGCTATTCTTTCGAAATAAGTGTCTTCCATGTTCTCTTTGGCGAGAACATCTTGTACAACACCTGAGGCCACAGTTTACAGTAGAAGCTGCTGCTTTCTGGTTGGGAGAATGGAACCAGCTTCCCCTCAAGGAATGGTGGACATTTTAGAGACTGGAACTGCCCTTTGGAGGACGTACTTACACACATGAAATCCACCTGTCATTTAGAATCTCAAAAGAAACAGCTTTCTGTGGCCAGGAACTGGACATCTCCTCCTCCTCCTCCTGTAATGTTTTTTTTTTTCCCTTGGCCTCACAGTGCCCTTCTCCTTAAAATGTTAATCCATGCTTGATATTTGTATTCTGCAATTCCTGCTGATACTGTTGATTAACACAGGGCACAGTATAAAGAAACTAAAAAGTAAATCACAATAGAAAATTTGAACAGAAGAGATCAGGCTTTCTAACCATCATTGTATGGGCCTATAGAATAACTAAATGCTTCCCCAAAGACCAGCTTTCAACTGCCTACATTCTGCAACCAAATCCTCATAGTCACCCTAACAAAGGTTAAATTAGAAATGAAGAGACTGGTTAACTATCTGGATTTGGTAGTCTCCCTATCCCTTCTGCTTGTGGAAATGAAAAAATGGCTTTCTTTAACACAAAAACAAAGAAGAATCCAATTGATAACGAGACTACAGAAACCTGGACCCCCTTCTCCAAGAGATTTCATTTCAGTAGTGCACAATGGAAACAAATTGAGGAAAGCATTCACAGGGAATTCTGATGCACCCTTGAGGCAAATTAGTGCTAACACAATATTCATATTATAAGTAAAAGAATAAAACAAAACAGAGCTAAAGAGTTAAGAGTTAAAGAACTCAGGTCAAAGTCATCTATCTGATCATCTTAAGATAATGAATGACTTCATCCTTATTACTTAGTGTTACATAGTATTATATAAACACACAGATTATCCAAGCATTGACAAAAACAAGAAAATATACTATAAAAGTAAATCGCGACTGGAAAGGTAACTCCCTAGGCAAGAGCACTCTCTGTCCTTTTGCAGAGGATCTGAGCTTGGTTCTCAGCTCCCACATGGTGGCCTATAACCACTTGAAACTCCAGTTCCACAGGATCCAACACTGTCTTCTGGTCTCTGTAGGCACTTCACACATATGGTGTATCAAACATACACTCGGACAAAACACTTAGGCACATAAAGAATCAAAATAAAAAGTCTCTTGAAGGAGAATTTGTGGTCTTGGAATATGGCTCAGTAACAGGGCATTTGCCTGGTTCAACTCTGAGTAAAATTAATTGATTAATTAATTAATGTGAAATTATACAAAGAACATGGGGTTTTTTTCATCTTGTAAAAATAAATCCATCAAAGTTCACTTAACACAACTTGAAACACACCAAATCCTCAGCTTCTAAAATAGATAGCTGACAGGTTAGAGAGGTGACTCAACAGTTAAAAGCACTTGTTGTTCTTGCAGAGAACTAGAGTTCTGTCTTCAGAGCCCAAGTCAAACAGCTCACAATAGCCCAGGCTGATTGTCAGCTGGGAGTACAGAACAGAGGCTCTGTACTTGCTCTATAATCCTCAAAACTGCAGCTTCAGGGAGTGTGATGCCCTCTTCTGGCCTCCCGGTAAATACACACACATGAACACAAATGTACACACAAACACATACATAAAAATAAAATAAACCATTTTTTTTAATGTGCAGCCGTTCTCCTAACTGTTTCCCCAGTGCCCCAAAATAAGCGAAGGTCCTCTAACAATCAGATGAAAAACACAATTTTCTTAAGTATTTACCAAGTCCATGGGCCTATAGCTTAGAACTTTAAATTTAAAACAAACAACAGGACTGAAGACCACATTAGCGAGTTTTCACAAACAAAATGTGACAGAATTACAAGGAAAAATATACATATCTAAAGCAGCATACTTAAAACATATCTCAGTAGTAAGCAAGCAACAGAGTGCAAGATGTGTTTATCTAATATTAATTTACATTAGATATAAAATCTTTTCCAAAAAACATGTAATATTTTCATATAAACATATAAAATGATCATGTACAAGATCAGGAAGAAACTCTTAGGAAACTTTAGAGAGCTGGCTTAGGAAGTAAAAGTCCTTATCACCGACTTGCCTGGTGAGCTGAGTTCCTGGGACCCACATGGTGGAAAAAGAAAACCATCTCCTACAAGCTGTTCTTTTGACTTCCACATGCATGTGGTCACACATTTGTGTACACACATGGACACACACACAAATAAAGTTAAGTTTAAAATATAGAAACAGACGTTTTGATGGATCTGCAGCCTGTAGACCACATTCTCTATCAATTAACTACAAATGAAAGCCCCTCTGCCCAGTGAAAAATAATAATTTTAGTCCCACAGAACTCATAACTCAAAGATTAGGTCAAGTGGGAAAGCTTAGCTGGTATTCAGTATTTAAAACATGTCAATGGTGTGGAATTCAGCTGTGACTTCAGAATCCTGACTTGAATGCTTTCGATAAAACAGCAGTGAAAAGTTTGCATGAAGAAATGATTCTACTTAGTTTGCTGAAGGAAGAGGCAACAGGAGCTTAAGGGCTTTGGGGAAAGCATAGTTTGGGTGGTTTTTGTTTGTGGGGTGTCAATATTTTCTGAGAGATGACATGAAGTGTGCTGGGTGGGGACAGGGAGGATCTGGGTAGAATTGGGGGGAATGGAAAAATATGACTAAGACACAGGGTATGAGAAGTTTAAAATATTAAAAATTAATCTTGAAAGACAGATAGCTGAGCTTTAGTGTGGAAGACATTTCAGGAATGGATGAGAGTGTGTAGATGTCAGTCAGCCCAACTCTGAGACTCTACATCTTGCTTGCTCTACAGAACCACCCAGCCTCCATGACCGAAGTCACCTGAGATGAATGAAGAGATGCAGCTGTTTTGGATTTCTCTCTCTCTCTCTCTCTCTCTCTCTCTCTCTCTCTTTTTCCAACAACCTTCCAGTTTAATACTTCAAAACACACAGTTACTCAAGTCAAACTGTGAAGACAAGTATTACATTTATCTAGTTAGAGGCTAATGTTTTGTACATTTTTTTGTATGAAGAAGTGATGTAGCTTGCCCTGATCTTTTTTTTGTCCGCTTTAATATATTTATGCCAGAATTTTAAAACCAACAAAATTTTCCTCTTGTTCAAGTGTGCATTGAAGAATCACATTTATTCAATGGTTGATGTTGTTTTGTGATATTTGTACACAAATCTTTTCTCAGTTTTATAGACAAATAAAGTAAAAGATCCACTTTACACCTTTGTTACCACAGTTGCTTTTTCCACCAGAAGTTTCGAATTTTAATGAAAGTTAAACTTTTGAGTTACAGGAAGGACCATGGTGGTTAATTGTAAATCTCAAAATCAATTGAGAAAAAGAAAATTTGGAGAGAACATCATGTTCTGTTCTGTGAATAGTTTTTGCACTCCGAGTTAAAGTGATGGCATACCAGTGAATTTTCCGAGTTACTTAACTATTGGCACAGAAGCCTCTATTTGGGGCGTGTTTTGGTTACATGACTCTTTCTTAGATATGGCCTCGCCCACCTAAGGAACTCAAGGTCAATCTGGAATTCTGTCCTTGGGCAGGTGACACTGTAGCCTTCTATCCAAGAGAGCAGCTAGCACCAGCCTTTCCTGTCAGCTCAACAGTTTTGTATATCATATTGTACGGACTTTATATGAAAAAGAATATTTTACAGTTTGCACAGTATTATTTTACAGAAGGATATCAGAGCATCTACAACATTGCACCCAGAGCATCAGCTTCACTTTGGGGCTTTTAACTGTTCTTGGATTTTAACTGCATCCTGTTTTTCTAGCGTGGTAATAATGTGTCCCTCCTTTGAAAGAAGGTTCTCTATCTGTATCTATCAAAACGTTTTCCTAACACATCCATGTCAGCTCTTCCTAGCTTTTTTTGTACATATTTTTTTTTTTTTTCTAAAGAGAAGAAAAAAAATTATCACAAAATGTATTCTGGCTCATGTCCTTTGTTCACCATTTCACTCGGTGGTGTTTGAAGAACCAAAGTGTTAAAAATCATGAGGCTGGTTAACCGATATTCTCTGCAAGAAGTTTAGTAGGAGGGAGGGGGAGGGGGGAGCAGGACTTGGGGAGAGAGAGAGAAAAGGGAAGGGGTGCCCCGAGAGAAAGAGAGTGTGTGTGTAAGAGTGTAAGAGACAGAAAGAGAGAGTGTAAGAGAGGAGTAAAAGTTTAAGAGAGTGTAAGAGAGAGTGTAAGAGAGAGACCACGTGTCAGGATTAGCCCTTTAAGAGGCAAGGTAACCACGCCTTCCAGGTATGGCCATCTGGCTGGCGACACATGATGACATCATAGGTTGCTGGATAACCCAGGAGCAGGTTGTGTTCCAAAATACTAATATTCCTCCCTTTTTCTATAATTAAAGAATGGGGAGCTTGGGCTGCTTTTTATAAGGTAAGTTAAAGTATATAAATTTAGGCTCATTGGAAGCTCTTGGTTGTCATAGAAGGGTTTGAGAAACGGAAGAATTATAGCAACAAAATGGTCAGATTGTAAGGTCAAGAGTAAGGGAAGCCTCTGCCCTGGAAAATTTAAGGTAGAGGGTTGTCAATAGAGAGAGTTGCCAGCCATGCAAGGCAGCAGATAGGGACTGGGGAATGCTGGGAGAACCTGGAGCTCCTTGTCCTGGTCCTGAAGCACACCATTTCAGCCTTTTGTTAACAACAAGTGAATAATGGGCATAGATTATCTTCTGGCTACTTCCTGCTGACACTGGAGGCGCTGTAGGGAGGTCAAAAGGCTGAAATGTTGGCCAAGTCCAGGAAGAATAGGCTGTTTTGATGATTTCCAGGATCTGTGAGAACATCCATGGCTTGGAGGCAAGGTGCAGGTCCAGCCTGTTGGAAGTCTGTGAGACCAGAGTTGAACACCTGTAGCTTGTTGGAAGTCCATGAGGTCAGAGTTGAACACTTGTAGCTGCTTTGGCACTGTTGTGGCTATAGGAAACATCTGTGTCTGGCAGGACACTGAAACACATATATAGGCAAAAGATAAAGTTGAATAGGTTATGGAGAAAATCCTGTAGGTATACATTGAAAACTTCTGGGAGAGCAAACAGGAATAGAAGGTTTGGATTAATCAGACTTGAACATGGGAACCTCTGTCTACCTGGGGGGACTTTTATTTACCCAATCACTGGCAATATTTAAAGAAGGCTTTGTTTTGGATTTGTCATTGAGGTGAGGTTTGGTTACAGAAACATGTAAACTTAGAGGCCCTGGTGCCAGCTGGCACTAGGTGTAGAAACTTAAAATTCTCCAGAGGGCATCCTGTCTGGAGGGACGGGCATCTGGGCATCTCGCATTGGGGGCAGAGAAGTCAGCAACCTTCCAGAGTCATCCCAATGAGAAGGTGTGACTCCGAGCAAGAGGGGTCCTACCTGGTCCAATAGCTAATCAGCTATTGGCCAGAGACTTGGGCACAGGTGCCCAGTGGGGCACAGCCGAGGGCACGATGATTCGCCTAGCACTAGGTCTTCCCACAAGCGAGCGAGAGAAGGGGAGAAGGAACCATGTGTGAGTGAGGACCTTCCCATGAGCAAGCGAGTGAGCAAGGGGGAAAAGGAACCGTGTGGGAGAGGGGACGTACTGCCCAAGGGAGAGTGAGGCCCTAAAATGGAGGTCAGCATAGAGGGTCAAACCTAGACAGTTAAGGCTTCGGCTGGGGGGGGAGGTCCCTCCATCTCAAAAGATAGTACGAAGTTGCCGGAGCTCTGCGATCAAGCTTCCCCTACCAAGAGAGGCATTTATGCTGAGAAAATGGAGTGAACTCACCAATCTAGTGGCTGGTCAATAAGGAGAACTCACCAATCCAGCCAGTGGTTGCATGCAGTAAATAGCAGTCTGGTAGCCAGGAAAGAAAGTCCCAAAACCAGGGAAAGGGGAGGAGTCCCACCTTTTGAGATAGGCAATAAGTGCAGTACTTATCTGAAGTCCAATTGACCTGAGAGGTGGATTTAGGTGGACTTTCTGCAGCTTGCAAGAATTACTTTTAAGTTTTAAAAAGGAGATTAAACTTTAGACATGTTAGTATCACAATTGTACTCTGCATTGAAATATACATTGTAGAAAAAGCAGTAGACATACATATTTATGTTAATAGTGTAAGTATTTTTTAAGGTGGGCTCTGAAAAGGCAAAAGCCTTTTATGAAGTAAAAGGGAAACTCACTTGATCTTAACTTTTAGTATAAGCATACACATTATGGAGGCTTACAATCTTGAGCTTAGAACTATAATAGTACGTGGTATAGTGGAATGTTTTTGTATCAGAGTTAGATTAATAGATTAGAGCCGTATTGATAAAGGTTAAAACTCTGGATAGTCAATACAACAGTAAAATAACAATAGGAGGAAATATTAAGCCTTTTTATCTATTTAAGATACCTTAAATCACCTTAGACCTTGTAACCTTTATAACTTGCATTTTACCTTAAAACATTTTTAGACCCTCAAATATTTATAAATTGCATTACCAACCTTAAGACATATTTTAAGACTCTCAAACATGTATAACTTGTATTTATTAACCTTAAGACATCTCTCAAATATGTTTTTTGAGAGGGACCTTTGTATTTAGTTATTTACCATGAGACATAGTTGAAACTGCTATGAACATTTATTGTCCTTTAGCTAAAGGGATGGTAAAAGGGTTCATTTAGGCCTGTTTCTTGAGTCTGGACTGTGTCTAGGCCTGAAAATAGCAGCTCCGGGACTTAGGCTTAAGGCCTGGTCTCCTGCATATGAAGAGAGCTTGGAAGGCACCTGAAGTCTCCCAACACAGAAGTTGGCAATATGTCCGTGGGACCTCATTCTGAGGTAAAAAAAAAACAGACCTGTGCAAGAGCTGTGGAGGTTGCAAAGTCAAGAAGCCATTCGTCCTCCACTAGGCCAACAAGCTAGAAGGCTGGAAGTGTCTGTAGCTCTTGAACTAGTTGAACCTCCATGGCTGGGCACAGAGGACAAGCCTGCTTGGGAGCATTTTGACTTCCAGAGGCCAGTTTGCCAGCAGCCAGCTTTGGCATGTCAGCAGCAGGACCAGAATCCACTTGGCTGCATTTGAAAATGTCACCTGGCAGAACGGACTTTTGGCTATGCAAACATCTTGCGCTTTTTCGGGAACACCAGCGTCTCAGCACAGCTAGGGTCTAGAGCCAGTTGGATGGCTCTTACTATTTTTACCAACTCCTATATGGTGACTCAATGACCATCCTCAGCTGTTCATTAAAAATTGCAGTGAGACCATGTTTGCATCTGTAGGACTATAAATATGTATCTTATGAAATGACTATTAACTTGCATTTGTTAACCATTAAATATTAGGACTTTAGGTTTTGTCCTTGCTAAGTTAGAATCTTAAAAGTCATGAATATATTAAAGTGAGAGAACAAGAGTTTTTGTATGATTTAGTATATAAAAGTTTATAGCTTATAAGAGTCTAAGGCTATACTACAAATTAATAGCATCATTTTAAGAGAACAAGACTAAGCTTATATTAACCTTTTGATAGCAGAGATACTGTAAATTGACCCAATTTTAACATAAATCAATACCTCTAAAGTTAATAGATCTTACTTTAGAATATTGGTAAACAATTTGTACATAATAACGAACCCTTGAGTTATAAGTTTAAAACCAACAATTTAGCAGAACAGTATAAAACAAATTTTAAAATTAACCAAGCATATTTTAACCCTTTGATAGTAGAGATGCAGCAAATTGATCCAATTTTAACATAAGTAAATACCTCTAAAATTAATAGAGCTTAATTTAGAATATTGGTAAACAATTTGTATGTAATAATGAACCCCTGAGCATAACAGTATAAAGCAATCTTAAAATTATATTTGAGCAACACATAAACCAACTTAATTTGAATAGATATTTATAACTTTGAAATTTTATTATTATATAAAATTTATTTTGAAGCAGGGTTGAATTATAAGACAGTAAAATGTAACTTTGAATTTTTATAAAAATCCATACCAACTTGAAATGAGGTTCATTGTTGTGGCCTAGTCTAAAAGATAAGATAAACAGTTAATTATGATTAAGACTTATAAATGCAAACCCAATGAGAAAATTATATAAAGCATTAGATAAGGAATTTAAAATATCGGAGTAAAGAGTAAAGTGTACAGAAATTAGGGAGAAAAGATTATTTTATTTTATTTTATTTTATTTTATTTTATTTTATTTTATTTTATTTTATTTTATTTTATTTTATTTTAAGCTTGGGAAAAGCCTCTTAGAAGAAAGCATGGGGCTAGAAGTGAAACAGGGCTAGAAGCGAAAGGAAAGCAGCTTGTTCTCCAAGATCTGAGTGGGAGAAGAAGGAGGAGAAGGGGCAAGAGGAGAGCGAGGAGAGCGGAGCTGGAAGAGAGATCTTGGAGGACTTGGAGCATGAACCAGACCTAAGATTCCACAAAAAGCAAGTATAATGTGGGAAATCTAAATGTTAGGAAACCGAGGGCTTAGAGGTTTAGGAGGGAGTAAATATTGCCCAGCATTGTGTTCTAGGTTAACTAAAAACCCAGTCACTGTGTGGTGATTTGGTTATACAGCTGTTTAAGATTAGCAGCAAGCATTAAAAGAAGATAAACCAATAATAAATATTAATAACTTCTTACAACAGAGCCTCTACTTACTCTTCAGTGGCCTTACATTGATCGTTACCCTCTAATCTAGCATGTGAAATTCATTCCTCAGGTTTGGACTTCCCTACTCAGGTTTTCCACCAAGGACAAAGCTCTCTGTCCAGACAGGGCAAGAAGTGACTATAGCCTAAGAGAGAAATGAATCCTGCAGTGAATTTTTCTTCCTCTTTTTATGGATGTTGGAAATGCCTGAGAAAGTCTGGCTCACTGAGGGAGAGAACTAGAAAGAAACAACACTAATGAAGTGTTTTGATGCGATGCAGTGATGAGACTGTTAGCTCGTAGGCATCCATGCCTTGATGGCATGCCCATTACAAGACTTGACACAGAACACACTTTGTTAAAGCGTACCGAACAGATAGAGGTCAAACTTCTTCCCAACTTGGCTGAAGAGAGACTGTGGCTTATTTGGGAAAAGGAATTTTGAACGGGGCCTAAAATGGGGGGTAACAATGATGAAGAGTGATTTAATTCGGGTAACATTTCAACATAGCCTGTATGCTGAGTACCCAGTTACCATAAGCCTCTCTTGCAGCTTTTGGGGGGTTACAGGTTGTGAGGCCACAGGCTTCTTAACTGTGTGTTATGAAGGAGGACGGAGGAAGGGAGCAGAGAGAAGTCCAATGGGCAGGCCAGAGGCGAGTCATTTGAACTACGTGTTACAGAGAGGGAGGAGGAGGGAGGGAAGGGGGAGACGTGCAGTGGTCAGGGCCCGATTTTTCCATGGTATGGACTTGTTCTCTTCAAGTGTCTTAAAGTGGCAGGCCGTGATTTAACACATACATCAAAACATGGCACTATTATGTGCCTGTTATCAATAAAATGAAAAAAAAAAAAAAAAAAAAACAGAAGTTTAACTTTTCTCCATCTCCTAATTTATTTCTACAGTTACTCTTTTCCAACCAGGGCATTTCGTGGTATAAAACCATAAACACAAGAGCATGAATTAATTTAAAATATAATAAAGAAAATGAATTTTAAAAGATTTGAGCAATAAGTGAAGCAAAATTCTGCAGAAATATAAATGATGAGATTGGCTCCAAAAGTCACGTTAGAACCCTTGTTCAGTAATGGAAAAATGTCATCTATTCAAATTAAATGTGCATGCAGAAGTAATGACTAATGGACATGAGCATTACTCAGCAAACTAGAAGAACATAGATGAAATCACTATGAAAACCAGAAGAGCTAGCTCTGATGAGGTGAGAGCTACAAGCCAGACACTCAGCTTCAAGAAATGCCACAAGGCACTTGGTTAAATTTGGTTGCATTCCTGATTTAAAAAAAAAAAAAGTAATATATACCTAGAGTAAAGAGAAGGACCCCCCCTCCCCTTTTTTAAGTTATCTATTGGAAATCTACAGCAAGCATTATGCTTGATAGTGTTAGGTCTGGAATCCGCTGAAAGAAGACCTCAGACGCAGGTAGTATGCAAAAGCAAGGAGTGTATACTCCGCAGAAATTGCGGGCATGCTGGGACCACCATTTCATAGAATGGCTACCCTGAAGTGGGCAAGCAGGCTTAATTTAAAGGCAGTTAGGGGATTCCCATAGTGTGATTAGGTAATCTTTTCATTGATCGGTTGGTGCTGATCTAGAGGATGCTGGGGACTAATGATTGGTTCTGCAGTTGGGGGATTTCATGGAGTGTCCAGGCAACAAAGTATGCCCAGGTAACAAAGCATCATTTTGACTAGCTAGACAAAGCCTTTTTTTTTTTTTTTTTTTTTTTTTTTTTAACTAACCTTCACTTTGATTGTTCAAGTGCTTACCTAAGTTATTGTTTCTGGTTTTCAGGAAGGTTATTGAGTTATTGTATGTGGTTTCCATGGACTGTAGTTCCCTGTTCTGAGAAATAGAAACTCAGGCCTGTTCAGTCCGAAGCCACTTTTGAAGCCTGTCATGCAGTCAGACTGGCTTATTATAAATCATTCCCCTCAATAGTAGGCTAGAATGCTCACTTCAAGCATCTGAAACCCAAGTTAAAATAGTTTAAACAGAGAATGTACTGCTAGAAAGATGTTAGCAGTTTTAGAGATTTCATGTGGATTGGAAACACCTAGATCAAATGAATTCTTAATTAGGGATATGAATGTGTGTGTGTATGTGTGTGTGTCTATCTGTGTGTCTCTGTGTGTAGTATAGTGTTTATCAGTTTGCAAGAATATCACAATTTCTGAATACTGATGTATTCCAATATATAAACTAAAATTTAATTTACAAAATTTCAAACTACATACAAATTTGTCAGAAACGCCTCAGATTCCCGTGTGTCTCATTTATTTCCAATTGGATTAGGATGAATGGGAATGTAAGAAAGCCGGGAGAATGCTGTCCATCCGTCCTGGTCATTCCCCTCCCCTGACTAATTCCCCAAATCCCTAACTAATGCTTTTATCCTCACATTAATTCCAACCTCTCTCTAACCCACTCCCTGCCCCAGCATGGTCATGACATTTACTTAGAGTTTGCTTCCAGAGTGAGGGAGGTGTTGCCTGAAGAACTTCCGGATCTCTCTCCAGGAGTGTTCCTGGGCTGCTGTGTGAGCAGCGGGATCTCCTCCCCAAAGCACGGCGTTACCCAATTCGTTGTTCCAGGACGCAAAGCAAAAAGGAGAATAGGGCGGCTCTATGAGGTGACCTGCCCCAGGGTATGACAGCATCCTTCCATTGCTTCTCCTATGGCTCCGGAGTCGTTCCATGGCCCTCTGTGCATGTATCTTGCTGTCCACGCATCCGTCATTCTCTCCTACAATGAAGAGGATCCTCCCCTGGGCCTTTTCAACGGGAAGTATACTCTGTGGGTTCAGCTTACTCCAGAGATCGTCTATATTGTAACGGAAGCGCATAGCCCCTGAGACATGGACTTGGGAATGCTCTAGAGCCATTTGGGCAGGTGTCACCACCAGATCCCGGTATCTTAGTGGAAAGTCAAGAATGAGGCTGGACCCATTTATCCAGACTGTGGCAACCACCTGCTTCAGGTAGCAGGCCATGGCCAGTGCGATCTCTGCACCTTTGCACACGCCGATCACACCAATTCCTGGCTGTTGGATCTTAAACACAAACACATACACAAACACAGTTTACATGCTGTCTTAAAGGAAGAAGCTCTCCCAAAGGAAGGTAAGGCAGTCAAACAGTCAAACTCTGGCACCCAGGTTTTCCAGCTTGTGAAATCCAGAGACTATTACCCATTTAATAATGCCTTCTCTGAGCTTTATCATCTTGGGGGAAACTGTGTCATGCATGTTGGAACAACCAAAATAAAACCTCATTAAAAGTAGAGTTCTAGAGATAGGGGTGGTGGCACAGTCCTATTATCTCAACACCAGGGAAACTAAGACAAAGATTTTTAATTCCGGTCCAGCCTAGTCTACATAGGGAGACCTATCTTAAACAAACACTTTCAAGTAGAGTTCTGAAAATGCAGTGAGAATCCAACAACACTGAACAACACAAGAGCATAAACAGGCTTTGTAAAGAATCACATTCTTGTCTTCACTAGAAGAAAGGTATTTTGGGCTGGGAAGATAGCTCAGTAGTAGAGTGCTTGCTATGCAAGCATGAGGACCCGAGTTCAACCCCCAGGACCTATGTTTCCAAGCACTGGAGAGGCAAAGACATCCAAATCCCAGGGCCCTCACTGGCCAGTAAGCCTAGCCTACATGGTCAGTATCAAGCCACTGAGAAGCCTTGGCAAAAAAAAAAAGGGGGGGGGAATGTTGAAAAAGAAAGCACACCAAATTTGACTTCTGGCCTCCATGGCAACCTAATTCTCTCTCCCTCTCCCTCTCTCTCCCTCTTCTTCTCCCTCTCCCTCTTCAACCCCCCCCCCATACACACAGATGAAGGAGGGGCACATAGTATGCTTGCTACATTTTTTAAATATTCAATGAGTAAAATTCCCATGAAAATATTAGTGTACAGCAACAAAGTTTACACATATATATTATTGACCCCATTAATCTAAGGGATAGCTCTGGAAGCATTGAAAGCAGGCTGTTGAACAGACCAAAAGGCTGTTCTCTGTTCAACAGACCAAAGCTGAGGGTCCTAGAAGGAAGGCTTTCTCTCATTCTGGTGGACTGAACATGCAGAAAGAAGCAATTTGACAGGTAAGTGAGAATAGATGAAACATTCTGGACAGGCAGCAGCAATAGAAATATTCTCTCCTTGAGAAGAATTCAGGTTAGAGTGAACAGAATGATAGAGCTAGGGAGTCAAAAACTACTTGATAGTTGGAACAAAGACACTACCAGACTGTTGTCATTTTCTGGCTTCATACTCTGGACACATTTTATCTAAGTAAGCTTTCTCACAAGAGAAAATTAAACAATTCTGTTACAGATGGAATAGCTAGCCCTCATCTGAAAGGCTTGGAGACAAGAGTATTTCAGATCTGTAGTTTTCAGACTTTGAAATATTTGCATAGATCCCACTTAGAAATCTGAAATCCGCACAGTAGTCCAAAATAGCTTTTTTAAGCATTGTGTTGATGCTCAAATGTTTTAAATTTTAGATTCTGGGTTTTTTGGGGTGAGGAATGCTTAACCTTTGATATTTATGCCATGAAGCTACTGTGAATGTTAGATGAGGTGGTATATATCAAATATTGCTAGTGTGCAAAGTGCTCACTAAGCAAATTCAAGGTATGAACCATCATTATTTTACCTTTGCTAGCTTAGACATAAGTACCTAATATTTGAGTGGACATTGTTGATCAATAAAATGATAAATTAATATAATTAAATTTAGTAACATCTCAACTCTGATCTTATGGTATCTACTCTTCATGTTTTCAGCACAAATATCAATAATTTGAGACTTCTGCAAGAAAACTAAGTCACAATTCAGCTGATATTTACTGGTTAGGAAAAGGTAGGTTTTGAGATGTACTCTTCAATCACAAATTTTAATATGTATAAGAAATACCTGTTTTCATGTTAACATGAAAATTCTGATCAATAATTAGGGAGTGGGATTTTGCCTTTGGACCACCTCTCAGTTGGTGCTGGGCACTTGTCTATTGACCTCATTTTCATTGCTGCAGTGATACTTATTCATGAGTTGTAGAAGGACCCATTCGTTTCAGATTTCTCTGGCTAGCATGGCTTCTGGCTAGTTGCTCCATCCACCCACCCCCAGCTCTGAAAATAACTGAAGAGCTAATTCAGGAAGTCAGATTATTGGACCGACTCAGTTTTGCCGGTAATTGTTTGCTGGTCCTCTTGTGCTTCAAATCAATTTCTGAACTTCTGCATTGGTCTTAGTGCTTTAGTGTGAACTATGCTAGGACTATATCATGCAGCGATCATCACTGATGTATAAAAATGTATCGCGTTTAGGATTCAGGATCAGTGGCTGATAGAACAATAAAGAGCTGCTTATGAATATATTTCAAGAGCTTCAAATGTAACATGTTTTGACTTTTCCCAGTGAAGAGAATCACAACGTGCACGATATATTTACTGTCTTCTTTGTGCCAGTAAACAGTAATTACTAGCCAACTCAACAATTCTATTATTCTTAAAATGTAAGCTGTGCCCTGCCCAAGGCTGCATAAATGAGACCAGACATATGTGATTTTTCTTTCCTATGATTTTGCAAGGTGAGATGGAAAGTATTTTAAGTACCTTGGGATGAGCTAGCAGGAAATTGGCAGCTTCCTCAAAATAATCCAAGTCCTTCTCCACTAGTTTGCCAGGCAGGTCTTCATAGGCAAAATACGCTAATGCAAGCACTGCAAAGCCGTGGGAAGCCAGAAGACCAGCACGAAATTCAATCAGACCCCCAATCTTTCCAAATAAGTCAATGATTCCTGGGAAAGGACCTTCTCCTGGGAGGAAAAAGGGCACAAGAAAAATGGGATCATAAAACAGTTAAGTGTGGCAGTCAAAGCAAAGGCATACAACATAGGCACACACTGGTACACACTCATACACACACATGCATGCACACACACAAATGTCCACAAGAGAGGGCGCGTTTACTTCATCCAAATTGTTACCTCTATTACAGCTTTGTAAATTGTGAGTCATGAATCCATATGGGCTCACACAGTGAATGTGGAAGAGAAGTTTGACAATAAGACCAAATGACGCATGTGGCCAAAATACAATTCAAAATGAAGTGAGTAGCAGTCCCAAGCTGTTTCCGCTGATGTCCCTGGATCTCACTCACCCTGATTCTGAGCACACAGCAGGAACTCTTATCTCTGCATGTGACAATTTAGCTCTAATCACAAAAACTTGCTACCTCGAACACCTGGGCGCAGATTCAAGTTTATCTGTTGTATGTTATGAGCCACAGTGTTCTTAACTGCACGTGCAGTTTTTGTTTATATGGACTCGCAGTGGTTTAACTACAGAAAGCGAGGACTTCTGATGTGTTCCTGTCGTAATTCTTTAGCATGTATCAAATTACAAAATCTTCGTATTGTATTGTGTTAGACTGTCTGATTTTGAAATTGCTCTTTGGCTTACTGACTTGAGTTTCATAAAAACTCATTAAGTGAACTTTGACTTAGGATGAGGGTAGAATTTTCAACAAGTTTTTAATGGCCCTAAACATACTGCAATTTGGTACTGCGTATCAGTGTGAAGCAGATTTCATACCATTGGCAATTGTGAAACTAAAATACCAACCAATCCTGAAAAACAATGAAGATGATCTAGTCATACCCTACAATCTCAAATATTTAAACAAAGTTTAATTCCTTTTGGAAAAATAGGTAAGCCTATTCATCTCATCAGTATGCAAATTTCCTTTCTTCTTTAATAAATGATAAAATCATGTATATAACAATGAACTATTTTAAAATCATTTTCTCTGCCTTGTTATCAGTAACTGTTTCATCTCTATACCTACTTCATATACTTACATACGCAGAATCATGCGAAAATTTCTACAGGGAAAAGAGGTCACAAGTAGAAAAAATATTTAAGAAGCTATGTTCTGTATCAACAAAGATTCTTCTCACCTGAAGGGAGAAAAAGGGTTCCGCGCACCCGACCTTCTCGGATCTGCTCCCGTTGAACCCCAGGGCCAACAAACCAACGCTGTACTATCTGGCTGGCCTTGGGTAGAGTTGGGACTGAATCTGCCAAGCAAACAGAGTCATACAGGTCCAGCGTGATGCAAAAGGGGCTGTTCACATCTTTCTTTATCAGCCTCTGAAAAACCCTCCTGGGCTTCAGAGACCAAAAGAGGCCCATTGGATGGACCCCTACATAGTCACCCCCCAAAGCTGATGCCTGCTCCAGGTCCACCTCGCCAGCATTGTTGGCCTGGTAGAAGGCTTTGGATTGGAACAGATTCTCCTTCTCATCCTTCAGTGTTGCCTTGATGGTCACTATCTGCGATGGAGGCAGGCCTGTCGCTCGGATGGACACAGGCTCGTCTGCAAGGGCATTTGAAGGGGTGGCTATCAGTTGGAACATTGGCAGGCTGGTGAGTGGGTCAAGGGGTGCTTCTTCCCTGCAACGAAAGAGAAAACTGAGCTGGAGACTTAAAGTCCAGGGAAAGGCCAAGACAAGGCTGATTAAATGAAACTTCCAAGGACTTTAGAACAGAATGTGTAGCACTGGGAGAGGAAGGGAGAAAAGAGGAGAGTGTGGGAGGAGAGGGAGAGAGGGAGAGAGTGGGAACATTGGTCATATGTTGTAGTGCTGAAATCTGTTGAATAATGGAGAGTAAACCTGGGAATTCATACTAGATTTGACCTCGCAGATTCGTATCTTGGCCATTCCAAAACTGTAGTTTTGTAGTTTTGAACGAGTCGATCATTAATGCTATGAAAAGTATACTCCCTGTAGGGTGTCTGTGAAGTTTTAAGGGAGGTAATAACACATGAGCTATGGCTCCAGGACAGTACGGCTCTCCTGCCTGTTTCAGTCTGGAGTAATCAGATAATAGGCAATCCATTATGGTGATGCAACAAGGGGCCGAGTCCCTTTTGCAGGTTCCTGGTTTCCTTGGTAAAGGGACACAGAATGAAACATGAGCAGAATTATTGGGGTCAGAAGAGGAAGAGTCCTTGAAAGGAGAGTGGGTATGGAGAGATAGAGAGTTACACTTTTAAAATTACACGTGTTTACCACGTGTGCATGTGTCTGCATGTGCATGCCTGGGTGCATGTGATCAGAAGACATACTGCAGGAGTCAGTTTCCTCCTGCCCCTATCCAAAAATGACCGTGACCTTGGACATGAAAACAGTGTTTCACACTTTCGGGCCAACTAAGGGAGAAAATAGTTAACTTTGAACACTGTTTGGGTTATAGTCAAACACAGTGAAGCACACCTGCAACCCACTATTTGAGAGGTAGAGGCAGGAGGATCACTACATGTTTGAAGCCAGCCTGGGCTACACAGGAAGTTCTAGGCGAGGCTGAGTATCCACATAGTTAGACCTTGGCTCGCTCTCTCTGTATCTGTGCGTGTGTCTGTGTCTCTTTCTCACACATACATGCATGCATTCATATGTGTGCATGTATGTGCACATAATTTGGTTTAGCCCTGTACTCAGCTGAAAGTTGCCATGTGGTATAGAACTCACGGATGTGTCGTAGACAACAAGGTATATTAACTGTATTTACCATAATCAGCATGTCCTTTAGTTTTATGGACAGGAAGGAATAACAGTACTTTTCGTCATCTGTTTTCTTTGGTTTTGTTACCTTTAGGCCAGGATGGAACAACTAATTATGTTACCTTTTGGCTTTGTGACCCAACTAGAGCCACTTGTACATGTTTAAATTCACAATTACAGATAGTGGTTAGATCTTTATCACTTGTTGAAAGGCCTGCACCCAGATTTCAGGGTTGTTTGTTTGTTTGTTTGTTTGTGTTGTTGTTTGGTTTGGATTTGAAACCAAGATATCATGCAGCTCAGTCAGGTTGCAAATTGACTATGTAGCCCAGACTAGCCTTGAACTAGTGATCCTCTGCCTCCACTATCTTACACTAACTGAGTTTATTTTTAATGTAACAGTGGAAGGGCAGTCCCTGAAAATATGAAATATGTTTTACACATACATGCACACACATACATGTACTTTCCTTAAAGAAACAGGTTTTGCTATATTGTTTAGTCTAGCCTCATTTCATGAGCTGAAATAATTCTTTTTTTTTTCCAGCTTCTCAAGTAGCTGAATATTACACCTGTCTCTGAAAATTATTTTTTAAATACAAAGTAGCATTTTCTCCTTGACTACTTCCTACTTTGCGTTCTCTTCAGGAGAACTGAGCATGAGCTCTTTGCTTCCTATAGTGACTGAGTTTTTTCTACTCATGAAAACAAACCTGAATGCCTTTGTTTTTGCATTTCCTGCAAAATAAAATGAAGGACCTTTGGAGAGGAGTCACTTTCTGCTACACTTTTTATGACAATGCTGCTGAATGATGATGTCAAAGTGTCAAATGCTAGTGTCAAAGTCATGGACACTTCCTATTGGACAGGCTCACTTGTCCTTTTCCTTGTGAACTGTGGGAATCGCTAGGACGATCATCAACCAGACAGCCCTTTCTCCTTTGATTATCCAGCTCTGCTGGGAGCTTGAAGAATAAGAAATTAAGCTACCACTTCTCCCCCGCATCTTTGGAAAGAATTGTAGCAGCTGTACTGTTTCTGCCCAGCAGAGGATAGCAGATTTTCCCTTGGCTCCTTGGCTGCAGAATATGCATTTATCCTCCCTGATTTACATCTTCCCTTTTCTTTAATCATTTTTTTTTTTGAGACAGGGTTTCTCTGTGTAGCCTTGACTGCCCTGGACTCACTTCATAGACCTGACTGGCCTCGAACTCATAGAGCTCCACCTGCCTCTGCCTCCCTGAGTTACAGGTCTTTGCCACAGGCTGATTTAAATTTTTCTAACTAGAGAACAGGAATGTTTTGAGTGGTCATTGATTTTGATTTTTTTTAATTTTTAAGTTTGACAGCCAATGAGCCACAGGACATAGGTTTCTAACTTCAGTGGGTTTTTTTTGTTGTTGTTTGTTTTTTGTTTTTTTTTTTTTTGTTTTTTTTTTTTTAGGATGTCCTCAAAGATACTGGCATACTAAACATCAGATGCACAGTATAGCTCCTGAAATGTTCACATTTCAAGTTGTTCTGACTACATTCCTCAATTAATATGAAGAGAATTTACTGAAAGAAAAAGCAATCTTCCTTTATTTTACCTTTGGTCTACCCCAGAACATTGCTAAAAGCCTAATTTTTTTTCATCTTTGTTTTACTTACAATGGTGACTCTTTGCCCAATCTTTCGTCTTAAAGCACCTGAAATTACCCTATGAATAATGTATTTTATTTTCTTATCTCTTAAAGAAGACGTTTTAGAAACGTCTCATAGAGCTGAGTTACTTGAGCCTTTCTTTTATACCCTCTTGTAATTGGTATTAACCTACTATTTAAGACAATATCTGCCTTTTAAAGTCCTCTAAAATTTAACAAGAGAATTCTTTTTTCTTCTTCACTGGGAGCCTTCCAGGAAGGGGCCTTCTCCAGAACAGAATAATTGTGAGGATGAAAGAGGCAACTACAGAGGGATATGAAGTAACAATTTTTCTAGCTCTCGAAGGTACGTGATCCATTCAAGTGGCCCATTTTGGCAGGGGTGTTCAGTGGGAGTAATGAGGATTGGATATAACAACCAAATTCCAAGGTTGTTGTGTAGTCAACTTGCTCCAATTGTTGGTTTGAAATCTCTTTTTGTGCCAATTACAGAGCTTGTTTTGGCTCTTTGGTTAATGATCTGAGCAGGCATGGATTCTCTTCAGTATGTCAAACAAAGGCTTAAGTTCAGCAGTGGCTGTAGTTTAAAAAGGATCGGTCCAACTTATATCCCCTAAAAGATTTTGAAAATCATTTAATGGTTTCTCAGTGTTGTGCTTATCTTATCTTATCTTAATTCCAAAGGCGTGTGGGTCACTGTTTGTGTCCTTAAAACAGGACCCAAGTAATTAAATGAAGGCCACACCTGTACCTTTCGTGGGGCCACCTTAAACCATAAGTGAAATCAGTTGCTGCAACACTTCTTGTAAGTAGGCTCTGTCCTTGTGGAAGATGAGGACATCGTCCATACAACAAACCAAATAAACCTGTGAGTATTTATCTCTAATTTTTTTTTGTAAAGCCATATCTACAAATTTTTGACAAAGGGTGGGACTATGTTTCACACCTTGTATTTATGATGTGAGTGTGTTAAATTTGTAGAGGGAAGATTAAAGGCAAATCTTTTACAGTCTTGACTTAAAGGAATGGTAAAGAAACAACCTTGTAAATCTGTAACTATATTATCATCTCTAGGAACAGCAGAAGGAAAGGGCGACCAGGTGAAGAGCCCCCATGTCTTCCTTGTTACCATTAGTTTTTCTCAAGTCTTGAAGGAGTCTCCATTCATGACAAACAGAGGAGTAATCCGGGGACTACGGGAGGTTTCTATAGGCTGCAATTGTTCATTAACTAGATCTGTGGCTACTTGTATCTCTTCTGTAGTCAGGGGCCAATTTTCCACCCAACCAGGAGCCTCAGATTTCTAAGTAAGGGAATCAGCAGCTATTTCAATAGTGGTCCTAAGGAAAATATTCTTATCAAAGCCTAGTCCCTGTCTATTTAGATTTTGTATAGGTTGTATGGGCTTTGTAATACCCTGACTATTTTTCCCTAGTCCTTTATTGGGATCAGATTTCACTTGTATCATTTGAGCAGCAACTTTATCATTTGAACTTATTGAAATAATTCCCATCTGTTCAAAAATGTCTCTTCCCCATAATGTGAAAGGTAAAGATGGAATCATATAGAGATAAAAGGAGCCAGAAAACTCATCTCACCATGTTAAAATCAGCACTTTTTGCCACATTGGCAACTTGTCCTAAGCCAATTAAAGTTGATGGAACATTTTCATTTTGTCAAGAGGAAGGCCAGTCTTTTTCCAGCAATACAAGAAACTAAGATCCTGAATTTATAAGACCCTCAATAGCATTACCCTGTGCCTTTAAGATTTTTGTGGGGCGTGAATTTTTAACTTCCTATATCCAGAATGCTGTATCAATAGAGCCAAACCCTTGATTTCTAAGAAAAGGGTTTTTGTGTCATCCCCATTATTTGAGGGGCCTGAGATTGGCCCTGCACACAGTTTCCTGGCTGGCAGACCTGATCTCTCACTAGCAGAGTTAGGCATTTCTCCTCGAGCTCTTTTAGGAGGGAACAGTGTTCCATCCTTTGATATTTGAAATGACACTTCTTTAATGAAAGCCCTTTTGACAGTAAGAGCATATTGTTTTGGACATATTAATGAAAGTTAATTAATGAAAGTTGTTTGTGGCATTCTACTGTCACATGTGGCCGTCCCTGTAGTGGGAATTTTTCTCTCTCCTTTCTTTAAACAGTTTCTACTAAAATGACCTAGCTGGCCACACACACACACACACACACACACACACACACACACAATTCTTTCTTCCTTCCTCCTTGGGTGGTTTTTCTGACTTCTAAAAAATTGAGTGGTGGTCTGTTCCTGCAGAGCTTCTGCAATACCTACCCCTTGTAAAGGGGTGACCTCAGAACATACTCTACCAAATTTATTAAGTTCTTCTCATTTTCTAATTGGTCTTAGCAGAGTCTGGCAAGCAGATTTTGCATTTTCAAAAGCCAGCTGTTTAATAGTATTTGCGCAGCTTCATCTTGAGGAACCACTTTAGTCACTGATTCCATTAGTCAGAATATGAAAATCAAGAGGTTCATCAGCCTTTTGCCCAATATTATTAATCTTGCTGTCTTAACGTCAGAGTAAGGGAGACTTCTTTTTGCTGCTTCAGCAATAGCTGGGCATTAAGTGAGAACATCTTTAATAAAATGTGGTTGAACTTTCATCAGAATCCAGTCTCCAGTTCCCATTAACACAAGAATAGTCATTCTACTCCCTCTCCTGCCAATGTTTGTGAGGCAGTTTCCTTTTTTGCTAATTCTTCGTATTAGAGGAATATTTGCTCTCCAGATATTTGATCAAATGAAATTTGATCCCAATAAAGGACTAGGGAAAAATAGTCAGGGTAGTACAAAGCCCATACAACCTAAACAAAATCTAAATAGACAGGAAAGGACTAGGCTTTGATAAGAATATTTTCCTAGGGACCACTATTGAAATAGCTTCTGACCACCTACTTAGAAATCTGAGACTCCTGGATGGGTGGAAAATATTTGCTCTCCAGAGCAAAAAGTTTTTCCTCGTCAAACATGACTTAGCAACCTGAAGCCAGTCATAAAGGGGTCATCCATCTACTGGTCAAACTTTCCATGAAAGTAATTGCATACAAAGACGTGGCTTTATCATTTGTAGTTGCCTGCATAAGCTCTTTTGATTTGGAGGGTGAGGGTTCTGAGACAGGCTTTCTCTGTGTAGCCTTGGCTTTCCTCATCTGGCTTTGTAGACTAGGCGGGCCTCAAACTCACAGAGATCTGACTGCCTTTGCCTTCCTGGGTTCTGGGATTAAAAGTGCCTATCACCACACCCAGCTTGCTTACGCTCTTCTAAAAGTTTATAGGGTAAAAGTTCCTATGAAGGTTCCTCATCCCCTTCATCAACAAAAATAACTGGGAAACAGCCAATCTGTCTCCTAACTGATGGGCTTGTAAGGACCTCCCTTATCAGTGGACTTGCGGAGGGGCATGCATGCAGAAAGAGGGGGAGGGTGGGACCGGGAGGGGAGGAGGGAAGGGCTTATGGGGGGATACAAAATGAATAAAGTGTAATTAATAAAAGTTAAATAAAAAAATTTTTTTTTAAAAAAACCTCTTTAAATCTCAGTGAAGAAACAGGGATTTTGCCCTTTTTAAACTCATTAGTCTGGGACGGGTTTTAGGTATCAAAGAACAATCTGGATTATGGTTTTATGTGGCCTCTTCCTCTAAATCTGTCTCTTCCTTAGGAGATATTGGTCACTCTCATCTTTATCTTCACTGTTATCATTCTCAAACTTAAAAGCCTTATGAGAAGCAGGGAATATGGGGGGAGGGGTGTTTTTAGTCTTATGATCTAATGATGGAGTAGTTTCTCCATCATCTTACCTTGCTGAAGAGCAAGGCAAAGTATCTTTCTCTTTAGGCTTGCAAGTATCTAAAGCTTTCCTAAAAATGTTCCAAAAAGAGAAAGCCTCAGCAGGCATTTTCTTAGGTCCGTTCTTCTAAATATCCACTCCTAGTCTGTCTCAGGTTTCAGAATCCAAAGTCCCATGGTCTGGGAACCAAGGACTACATCGCTGTGTAAATTTAAAAAAAACAGTTGATTGTCAAGTACTAACATTGATTTCCCTTTTCTTGAAACTATATTGTATTATATCTACAAAGAATCTTTTTCCTTTTGACTCCTTATGGCCCATCACTTATTTATAGTTCTTGTCTTTTCAGTCTTTTCACCTTTCACTACGTGGTGTATTTCTTCCTAGGGGGCTCGCCCTTTGATAAAATTCGGTTCTTACTTCAAGTAGATTTACCTTTACGTTTGCTGTTCAGGGTTGTGCCTTCAGGGTTGCCAGGGGACTTCTGTGGCAAGGAGAGCCAGAGAGTCTTTGATGATGGGGTGTCCACAGAGCAGACAGGAGTCCACAAGGGGAGGGAGTCAGGAGATGGTCAGGGATCTCTAACAATCAGCCACTTCTGTGGCTCTGACTTTCTAGACTTTCCAGCAGTCAGACTGTTTTTTATCTCTGGCTTTATAGCAATCAGGCCACTTCTTTGGCTCTGACGTGTACCAATCACGTTCTTGCTTATCTGTATGGGTTTCTTAGAACAAAGACAAACTAATAATTATCCAGACCAAAACCCAAAAGTTGCAGATAGAAGAACAGTGATTATGGTAATCCATCCAGCTTTGCCGGAACTGTGTCAAGCAACTGTGCTGGCTTCCTGACTCTCTTTGTTTCTAGTGGATATGGCTGTTTCGCTTCTTCATCTGTTTTGTACGTATGTGTATGCCTGTTTGTACGCATGTGCATATATTTGTGTGTGAGAGACTACATGTGCGTATACCAGAAGACAACCTTGGTTGTTATCTTCATGATAAACCATGGACCTTGTTTTAAGACAAGATCTCATTGGCCTGAAGCTCACCATGAGTCCTGACTGGCTGGCCAGTGAGCACCAAGGATTTTCCCTTCTCTACCTCCGCAAGTATTGAGATGACAGATGTGTGCCAGTATACACTGCCATTCTTTCATGAGTTCTGGGATATGTGCTTTACAAACTGAGATATTCCTTTGTCTCTTTGTCTACTAAAAGCTGTAATTATGGTATTTACTTTTGTTCTGAATATGGGTTTTAATTTAATTTAATACCTTAGCTTCTAAGCTATTTTGGAATGTAATCATTCCTATTTTGATAAAGTCCCAAGGTGACAATCCTTATTTAGAAGAGTATACAGATAGATACATGAGGAAAGTGATATGTGGTGATGGGTCTCAAAAAGTTATAGCCTATAAGTGTCTACTGAGAGTTGATATTTACCTTTTAATTTTTCTGGATATTTACCTTTTAATATTTCCTGTTAAATATTTCAGTTTATTGATTCTGACTTGCCAGAAATTGTACATAATGGTCAATGCTATCATAAGGCTAAATTCCTACCTTTTACACTGGGGTAAATAAAAAGACTTAGATTATAGCGAAACTTTATATTTGGAGTTGTTCTAAGGAGGATTATGTTGTTTCACCATAAGCAAACCTATGAGGTAAACAGAGAAGGGCTTGTTGATCAGCCAACTGAATATGCAGGTGTGTGGTGTCTCAGGTTTACCAACCAAGAGTACAAAGGACCATATGACCATGTGGCTGGTAACTCAATATTCATAACCCCTGGACCATCGGCTAAACAAAGGTGCCCTTACAAGTGGGTAAAACATAGTATGCTTCCTTCAAGCCAAAGTTCTAGGGTTTGTCTTTCTACAAATGATTATCAATTTGGTGGATCTAAGACATAATCAGGCCCATTTGTTATTTGTTCTTTATGTACCATTCCCTTAGAGATTCAATTGGTACACAAAAATATTCAGGTTTAAAATACAAGCACACACACACACACACACACACACACACACACATACCATATGAGACTTTATACTTACACACATCAGACTCTCAACTAAGGGTCTTTCAAAAATATCACTAGAGTTTCTGCAAGGGCTTTTAATGGGGAATGGAGGAAACAACATTCAACTGTCTTGTGGTGCTTAGACAGTGTTTAAGTAGCCCTGTTAGTGATTTCTGTATAGGTCTCACATTCCCATACAATAGTACATAAAAGTACAGTGTCCACTTGATTGAGTCCGTTCTTAGTTTTGCATGCAAGATGGATGGTCTTGATGGTAACTGAGTGCTATATACACAAAGAGGACATCAGATGGAATACCTTTGCGTTTCCCTCTCTAGTCACCTCGAGTAAGTTTTTTTATTTTTTATTTTTCTTTTATTTGTTTGTTTGTTTTCAAGACAGGGTTTCTTTGTGTAGCTGTGACTCACTTTGTAGACTCAGCTGTCCTTAAATTCACAGAGACCCATTGCCCTCTGCCTCCCTGAGTGCTGGGATTTAAAGGCATGTGCCAGGCTTAGAGCAGATTTTTTTAAAACTCCATGGAGTGAGCTAAGGCACTGAGCCAATATAATTTGTATAATTGAAAACCAGAGAAAAAATTGCATTCTTGAAATGAGTTTGTATGCACTGGCACTTAGCTGTACATTGTCACTTTTCTATTGCTATAGACATTGAAATTTTAAATCATGTGGGGGGGAAAAAGCACCACATTAAGTTAACAAACTGTAACTAATATTAAAAAAATTTTTTTAAATCTTCAAAAAAAAAGAAATTGGTAACTCGAGGTGAGGGTTTCTTTTGGTATTTTGTAATGTTTTTAAAATACTATATCTTGTGATATTTATATATTTTTTTTAAAATGACCAGTAAGATAATTTTGAAAATGAATTTAAAATGGAAGAGAATGTAGAAATCGGGGACAAGCCTCTTAAAATTAGCGAGGAGGAATCACTACCATCTTAGACGTTTCTTATAAAGTAACATAATTCTGTTCACACAGAGACGTCACTTCTGGGCATTGCAGTAGCTGTAATATAATTTGTCCTATTCCATTTTGCATAGTCTAACAAAAAGTTCTAAAAATACAACAATTTTTCAAAGAAATTATTGTTTTGCAAATTAAAAAATTTGCATCTTAGCTCATGCCATTTGACCGTAAGTATAAACTTTATTTTCCCCAAACAGGAATAGAAATTTGAGGCAGGGAGATGGCTCAGTGCCCACAATACTGGTGATCTGAGTTCTGTCCCCAGGACCATATGGCAGAAGGAGAGAACCAAGTTCCTCAAGTTATCTCCTGATCTCTATACATGCACAATGACATGTACATCTATACCTGAACTATGGCACATATGTGTATATATGTACACAAAACCCTGTAATTTCAAGGTTATTAAAGGAATAGAAATACGACAGTTTATTCATCCTCTTCTTTCCATTTCTGTATGCTTTCTGATATTTAATGTATTAGTTTCTTTCTCTTACTATTACTGCATTTAGTTAAATATACTCCCTGGTGGCATTTGGAAGGAGATATAATGGGAAAGAATTAAATTATATTTCACAAACTTCTACACACACACAAAATTTCATGTATGCCTTTTTTATTTTTCTAAATTAAAATAATTTCCCTTTTGAACTTTTGTTTCTTTGGGTGGCAGAATCAATCGTAACAACAGAATTTGAACTACTTCGTTTTTTTTTTTTTTTTTCTTGGACCCCCAGGAAGTTTCCCATGATTTCCCCGGTGCTTGAGAAGCCCTGCCCATATGACATGACACCTTCTGCTAAGCCTGTTTTGTAAACTGTGCAGAGTTGAGATACCTAACAGGGAGACATGCGCGTGAGCTAAGACTGTAAATCAAATCCAGAGTTAGGTGGAACACAGGAACTGTGTGGTGAACTAAAAGCCGCCTGTCCAGTCTGAAGGCAGTAAGTACAGTGCATTCAAAAAGAAAACCCCGCTGCTGAGCAGGCTGGTGCGCACCTGTCCTCCGAGCAGCTCTGGAGACTGAAGAGAAGGATCGCATGAACTCAAGCAGCTGGCGAGGCCCTGCCTCCAATAACAACACAGTGCCAGCAACAATACACCCATGGGTGACTTGGTAACGCGCAGACCCCACTAGGTTCTCTGTAACTCAAAGGCTGGGGAAAAGGTTTTGCTTTCCTATTTCTGGTGTGTCATATTTCACTGAGGCACAGACACTGACTAGTCTTCCCTGGATAGAGAAAGAGCATGAAAGAAAATTGCGAACTACTAAAATCGGAGGGTGGACAGAGAAGACCGCTGATTAATAGTATTAGTGTTCTATGGAAGCTGACGTTACTTTCAGCGTCAAATCCTCCTTGTGATCTCGCATTGTGATTAATCTGCACTCATTTTCCCAAGTTCCTTGGCATCTCACCTAATTTATATCTGTATGGGATACAGATATATTTGTCTATATACACAGTAATGTTAGTCTAGCCTCTCTGTAAGTTTCAGCTCTTTGGATAAACTAAGCCATACAAAAAAGTGCAGTATTTTATGATGGTATGTCTGGTCTCCCAAGAAAGCCCTTTTCCCAAGGTCAGGCATTTCAACAAAAGCTCCCATTCCCTAGGAGGCTTGGAGAAAGTTCCTGCTTGGTGAAAAGAGAGTCATTCTCCGTATCTCTGGCAAGAAAAACTTGTGGTCCTTCCATTAACACATAACTGTGGTGCCTATACATATATATAGTGCATGTGTATGCTATATACAGCATATATGCCTATATATACATATGTATTGTAGTATTAATATGTAATATGTATATATACTATTAATACCTTGGCAGTTACAGCCAACCCATTGCATTTAACAGTTTAACCAACCATCTCATTATAGGCTTAACATGTAGTAGAGTAAAAAGATTTCTTCCTTTTATGCTGTAAGTGCAATATTAATTCGTTGAAAACAAACAAAATTAAAAGTTAGTTCCTCACTTACAGTAATGACATTTTAATTACTCAATAGCAAATATAGCTGGTGACTACTATATTAGTGTAAAAGTAAAAAGGCATTTTCGTCATCAGGGACTCTCCCATTGGACATCAATGCCACGGATTGTAAATGCCTCAAGGACAGAATTCTGCCTTATTTAACACTGTGCTCAGTGCCTGGAAGAAAGTAGCTAATAAATGTTTAACATATCACATTGAAAAATAAATAAATATTTTAAAAAGAGGAAATTTTCTCAAAGAGAATATGAATTTAAAATGGAGCCAAACTGAATTTTTATAGAATGCTTCCAGTGATGGGGGACTGATATCCAATGGGATCAATTCTCTAAGTGTTCCCAATTATTTGCTCCAGGAGGAATGACTGGATATTTCATGGAATCAACAGAAAATGGGCAGAGAGGTTAAAGGATGTGCAGCAATAATCCCCCTGCCTTGTCCAGGGTTAACCCTGAGATAAGGGGAAGGGGGGGGGAAGAAGCCATCCCCTGCATGGAAGCAGCTTAAGGCTGAACATGATACCCTGGGTGTAGGGCTGGTCCCAGACCTCATGATGAAAGCTCCTAAGGTTAAAAGGATTAAGTCTCTAATTTGAGGCCACTATAACTTGATTCAGG